CGATCCTAGTGCAGCATTTACACGATGAGATCGGTACTCTGATGGTCTTGGAGAAATGCGATGGAGAAAAGCTGAGGAAGGCTATGAATAAAGTCGGCGAGACGAGCGCCAAGACCATTGATCCGGTTCGTGCACCTCTATTCGTATATTTTGAAGTAAACCGTACTTACTTCCCCTAGTATCTTGTTGCTCCGTTAATACTGGGATGTGGCGATAGAGGATATCCTGGTAACCGCGACTTCCCGCCTGTACCCTTCTTCCTCCCGTGGTTGAACGCATGTTGGTTTGAGAGGAGGCACAGAGGGTCCTGGCGATTCAACCCAAGTGACCATTGGGGTTATCCAAGGCCGCTGCACTTTCATTCGCATGATCGTTGAATACCAATGTAGTTAGGAGGAGAATGACCTCATTGTGTGCGTTTGCCTGTTGGAGCAACCGCGCTAGCGCTTTGCCTCCGCGAGCGCACTGGACTCTCTTTCACTTGCACTTGCACTTTTCCGCCTTATTTCCTTGCCTCAGATTGCCGCTACGGCTGTATATTGTGAAATTAATACATGCATGACTATATATTGTTTCAGCATAGAGAATATACTAAACAAACACCTCGAAGACGCATGGTACAGTGGGAGTTGGCAATACAGTGGGAGTTGGCAATACAGTGGGCTAGTCGGATTTATCCTCTTCCACCTTCCTGAGAGACCTCGCAAGTTCGATTCTCTGTTAAGAAGCGACGCGACAGTTAGTGCGGGCGACTTAACAGAATTACGAGTCGGGCGACGAACATATCTAGGTACGTTCCAGCGGGGGTTCGATGATGGGTAGTGGAAGCTGATGAGTGGTGTTCTTTTTTTTGTCAAATTGTTTCTTTTTTGCTTTTATTATTAGGGAGGTGCTATGCTCTAGGTAATAGATGTGAAATAAAAGATTTAAGCCTGTAAAGGAAGAGGCGTATATATATTTCTATACAAAGAAGAGCTACTAGAAGCTTCACATAGAGAACTAAAATTAGAGGGATGTACATAAAATAGCTAGATTCAAGAATCGTATAGGCAAGGCCTGTATGAGTTTGGGATATATTAGATTTTGAAAAGCACGAACTAGATTGCACTCTATTCATCTTCAGCTGGCATTCATAGTGTGAAATCAGACTCTATGAAGCATCCTAGCCCTTCAGGCTTGTTATGACCCGAGCACCTTCCCAGGCTTGTACCTAATGTTACCCTCCTAGTCACTCATTCGCTCAAGGTCTGCTCGCCCAGCATATCACAGACGTCATCAAACTGCTGTTCCACGGCCTGCATACCAGACACCATGATGGCATGCCAAGTATCCGTGTCAATCCATGGCCTGTACCCACCTCTGGCCTTAACCTGCATCTTTTGTATCTGTTTGGGGTGAATCAAGTCCTCGGGTACGGCAGCGAGAAGTGATTGCAGCATGTCGGACGACCATGGAATGTTGCGACGCGGATCCAGTCCGTGTCCAATCGTCATCTTTCCAAGCTTATCTGCCAGGATTTGCTCCCTCAATTCCTTGGAACTGCGTTGAGTGCGGTCGTTGTCGTCCTTGAGAGACATAGAGTCTACGTACTCAAGAACGATGGAGGGGCCATACATCTTGACCTCATCGTCAGAGATGATGCCACGACGGCACAGACCAGGGATACACTTGGGTGGTAAGATTGTCATCTTAGTCTCCAACTCTGGAGGAAACGGCTGTTTTGCCACTTTTTTCACGAGCTTTTTCGCCCTCTTCTCCTCGCTCGGTGAAAACTGTAGGAAATCAAACGAGTCCTCCTCTTTCCAGAGCTCCAAGAACCTCTCTTGTGCACGGAAGTCTCTATCCTTCAAGCTAACTCTGTCGTCGCAGGCGCTAAGCCACGCCCGCACAAAGGCGAGGATGAACTGTTGAGTTTCGGGAGTACAAACATCGGGAGGAAAGTCGTTGGCCATGACCCAAGCCATAGCTATGAGGTTATACCGAGTGACCGTATGGTGACGCGAGAAGCTGTGCTCTGGATCCAGGCCGTAAAACCAGATGCCGCGGGCGATGTTCATATCTTGATCGGTTTGTTTTGCAACAAATCCTTGTCGGGCCATCTATATATAGCAATGCGCTGTTAGTGGGAGCTTATACCAAGAATGGAGTGATGTTGTGTACCTCGCCGAAATTCTTACAGTACCACGCCAGCTGCAAGTCTTCAGGGACAGACGAGGTTTCGGTTTGGCGCTGTTTGTAGAGAACGTAGTTGATATCGGGTTTGTGGACGATGGAATCAGGGACGATGGCAAATACCGTGTCTAGATTCTTGGTGGCTTTGTCGATACGCATGGCGATTTCTTCTTCTGGCGAATTTTCATCGTGCACGACCTCTGGCAAGTCGCCATATCCAATGGGCTCGCACACCGTGTCAGGCTCTATGTGCCACGTAGGCGCGATCTTGTGCAGTAGTCGTAGGTCAGAAAACACGAGTGCGATAAACGTAGCTGAAGGCTCTGAACTGGAGAGAGGGGTGGAGGTAAGCTGTTGCCTGAAAGTTTTTTCTCTTCCCTTTCACTTCCGTATGTTAGCTCGGCCGCCGCGAGCAAACGGAGGCAACAGCGAATGAGATGACAGGATTATAAATACGGTGACATCACCCCCAATCGTTCCTAGATGTTTTCCGTTACCGAGATTATGGATTTGGACATGACAATATAATGACTTGTGGTCACTGGTCAGCTGTTCGACAGCCTGACATGAGCGAATAAGACCTCGCTTTATCTATGTGGATTTATATATGATATCCCTTCTCTTGGAGAAATGAAGTAATAAGAGAGGAAGAATGGAGCATCTGAAATACACGGAAAATGTAGAGACTGATAGCTTGAACAAAGCACACGTGCGACCGACATTACTAGACTAGTTTGGGGCTGACAAGGAAGAAGGATGAGAAAACGAAACTATAGATGTGGAAGGAAATGAAAAATGGGTGTATTTACTGAGCAATCTCTACATATGTATGGAGCGATGCTAGACAATAAAAAACATGTGACTGAGTCAAATGCGGGGTGGATGGAACGCGCAGCGGTCACACAACAGCAGCAACAAGCTCGTGACTAGGTATCTTGGCTTGATGATACTGTTTTGAGTGAGCACTGAGAATATCGAGATGGAGAGAAGAAGTGTAAAGGCAGCCTCAGCTGGGCAGGAGTGGTTGACGATCGGTATCGGCACGTGATGCGGTGAGGGCACCCCTGCCAATCGCAACGAATACCGAAGCGCGTCGTGAACTTTCGCGATTCAGAAGGAGCTCCGCATTGGGAGGGCAGCCACGACAACAGCTTGTCACGCAGCGAAAACAAGCACCGGCGGCCGACGCAACCTTTGCCATCACAAACTTTCGAGCGTATCGCTACCCTAGCCCCCCGCCATGGGCTCCAGATTACACAATGCGCCCATTGTGATAGACAACGGCAGCGGCACCATTCGGGCTGGTTTCGCAGGCGAAGATGTGCCTAAATGCTTTTTCCCGTCATATGTAGGACGGCCAAAGCATGTGCGGACGATGGCGGGTGCATTGGAGGGGGATGTATTCATAGGCCCACAGGCGCAGCAATATAGGGGGCTCTTCAAGATCAACTACCCGCTGGAGCATGGCATAGTCACAGACTGGGACGACATGGAGCGGATATGGCAGTACGTCTACACAGAGGGCCTGCGGACTGTCAGCGAAGATGTGAGTGCGGCCACGGCAGAAGCAGCAGTTTGCTGTTGTAGAGGGGCATGTCACTGACTATGACTGTTGCTAGCACCCGGTACTCCTCACCGAACCTCCCCTAAACCCTCGAGAGAACCGCGATACGGCTGCGCAGATCCTATTCGAGACGTTTAATGTGCCGGCCTTGTACACATCCGTCCAAGCCGTGCTCTCACTATACGCCTCGGGCAAGACCACAGGACTCGTTCTAGATTCTGGAGATGGCGTGTCGCACGCCGTACCCGTCTTCCAGGGCTTCGCCATACCCAACAGCATCAGGAGGATAGACGTGGCAGGCAGGGATGTCACGGAACATTTTCAACAGCTACTGCGCAAGAGCGGGCGCATTTTTCACACCAGCGCTGAGAAGGAGACGGTCAAGACGATCAAGCAGGAGACGGGCTACGTGGCACTCGACCCGGCCAAGGAGGAGAAGGACTGGTCAGGTTCCTCCCGCTCAGAGGGCAAGAGCATCGAGTACATACTTCCCGACGGACAGAGGCTGAAGGTGAGTCGTAGACAGCGCATTGTGTGTCTGATATGAGCTGACTGGATTTAGATTGGCGCAGAGCGGTTCCGAGCACCGGAGATTCTGTTCAACCCCGAGATCATCGGTCTGGAGTACCCTGGTGTGCACCAAATCGTTGTGGAGGCGATACACAGGACCGACATGGACCTGCGGAAAGCTCTCTATGGCAACATTGTGCTCTCTGGGGGTTCCACACTGACAAAGGGATTCGGAAACCGGCTGCTCCACGAGGTGCAAAGACTGGCGGTGAAGGACATGAGGATCAAGATCTTAGCACCTCCTGAGCGCATCTACACCACATGGACTGGCGGCAGCATTCTTGCGGGCCTGAGCACATTCAAAAAGGTGAGTGTCCAATTCGCGGCCGAATACGTGATGAACTGACACGTGCATACAGATGTGGGTAGAAAAAGACGAGTGGCAGGAGAACCCAGACATCATCCACACCAAATTCGCATAGCACCAACACGTTGCCCCTGTGCCAGCAGCACGTTCTCCGCACCCGGTGCTCCCGCCTCCGCACCTTTGTTCGAGAAGAGGCTGCATGGGCGCGTCAGTAGCGCAGTTGCCGTTAGTCATGGAAATGGAGATGGAGTGCGGCGCTCACCCCAAGCAGTATAGGAGAAACCTGGGGCATGCGCGCTTGGTTGGGTCATGGTGGATCCACGTGCCAGCCGGTAACCGTAGCTCCTGGACGGGAGAGCTATGCTAGTACCGTCATGTTCCCCGCATTCGAGTGCGTTTCTGTTACTTAAGCGCGAGCATGGTTTGAAAGTAGGGGTTATGTACGTAAGTAAGGTGTACGGGGACGCTGGCGAGGAGAGGTTGTGCATGCACGGCGTTTGAGCACTTTGGAATACCCCCTTATGATTATGAATCATAGAGAATAGTAAACAACCAAATTCATATGCGACTGCGGGTGTGTTGTTGAAGTGCCAAACGTGGGCTGAAGGAAGGGGGAAGGGGGAAGGGGCATCAGAGGCGACAAGAGGGAGGCGGGTCTGCCAAGGATCGTGAAGTCTCGTCAGTTATGGTGTGACTGGAGTCACATAATTTTTGGTTCATTTCGCGCAATATGCAACGTCAACCCACGGAATGTGCAAGGCCAATTACACAATCCATGGCGGCATAGTGCGGGCGAATGGCACATTCCCGAGGTTCGATCATCACGTAAGCGCTGCAGGTACCTCTTGATCACAGGGCTTCCTTGGTAAAGACACGTAGTCACCGCAAGCACAGAGCCTCTGGCCTGGACTTCACGATGGTCGACGTCATGTGCACCGGCCTGTCCGCGGAGGGCTTTTTTTTTTCTGCTTGACGTGTCAGAAGTAACCGGTCAGCAGAGCAGATGACGCACAGGAGGAGAGGACGAGAAGGAAGACGAGCAAGAGAGGAAAAAAAATCGATTCCAGATTCTTTGTTCGAGGTATCCAGTACTATGTAGATCATTGCATGCAAAGGGTATGCAGACTGCAACAACGACATCATGGTCAAATCAGAAATCAGAAATCAGAAATCAGAAATCAGAAATCAGAAATCAGAAACTGCAGCCGTGGTCGTGGTCGCTGTTCCAGGAACCAGACAACGTAGGCTGACTAGGCATGACGCCAAAGGCAAAAATCTCTTCCCGCCTCCACACTCTCCGGCGGGAAGCTTGCTGGCGGCTGCACTGGCGGAAACAGGAAAGGAGAATGGCGTCGTTGTTTGCAAATTTGCAGTTAGTCGGCGTGAGAAGCGCGGTTGCTGCGGAGCCAAGGTCCGGCGCATTTCAATAGCGTCATGGGCCTCGGTCGCCTCGTTCCTTGTCCACGCCCGCACCGCCTGCACCTGACCTTTTCCCCTGGCAATCTCTTACCCCCGAGAAACTGCCTGCAGCCAATCAGCGCATTTTGAGGGGGTAATGGTGAACTATTCAGGGCGCTGAGAAATTTCCTACACTTGCGTTGTTAGGGCACGCATGATCCATTGACTGCCGTTAACTGCAAAGTCTCGCTGAGACTTCCAAGGCTCTGGCCACGGCCTCGTGCGCGTTTGATTTGTTTCGTGGCGCCGAATTTTCGAGTAGCTTGCGTGTGAGAGGCTTTTTCCAACAAGCCTTGCAGCTGGGGAGTACGTTGGTCATCGTGATCAGTGCGACCTTGTTTGTTATATAAACCCTTCACCCCAGTAGTCTTTTGTTTGCATTCTGATCAGCCACTACCATTACAACATCCGGAGCTATACCTGACTATCACCGCTACCCCAGATTCTCATCACAGTAGTTGGAACTTGACTTGATATCAACATCAACAACCAACTCCCTCCACACTACCTCACCAAACCCCCCACCAAACATTCAAAATGGTCAACTTCCACATCAGCGAGCCTCACCCATCCGCCTCCGCCTACATGTACTCCGGCCGTGGCGGTGCCGGTAACGCTATGCGCATCAAGACCACCGAGATCACCCCGGGTCCCACGGCCACTGGCCCAGCCTCGCGCACTAAGCTCCCTCCCCCACCCACCAACGCCTTCTACGCTACCGGTCGTGGAGGCGCTGGCAACATGAAGAGGTCTGAACGCGCCATCTTCAGCTTCGACGAAGAGCTTCAGCAACAAGAGCGTCTCCGCACTCAACAAGCACCCGTCTACCACATTGGCCGTGGCGGTGCCGGCAACCTCGTCGACGAGATGAAGCCCCGAACTCAACGTCTCAACTCTGCCTCCTCAACCACCAGCGCCTCGAGCGTGGAGAGCGAGAAGGACGGCGTACGAAGGAGCGTTGAGCACGCGTGGCAGCGCCTAAGCAGGCAATTCTCCCACCAGTAGACAATCCGCCGACCGCCTTTCAACCCTTTTACTTTTTACGACCATTTTGCTTTTTTAATCATCGTCACCATCATCATCACTTGGCGTTCATGCGTTCATCACCCTCATCACATCGATCGAGAGCTGGTTCTGATTCTCTCATCCAAGCATTTCCACCAGCACGGCGTTTCCGGAACCTCTTCACTGTACAAAACAGTTCCCCAAAAAGTTACTTTTCTTTTCAACAACAACAACAACAACAACTACTACTACTACTACTACCACACTTTAACGATCCTACGATACACACACATACACACTTTTAGAACCATTGCGAGGAGCATGAAGGCGCATACTCTACACACCTCGGGTCTTCTACGTACATCAACTAAAGCCACCCACCTTTCTTTTCTTGATATATATACCCGGATATGACACATGGCCGATAGCTTATTTGCTCTGGCGAGAGAGGGCTTTGACGATTCTTTCTTCCCTTCAAACACTGTTTTTTTCTCATCTCTCTCTGCATGGGAGATGGGAGACGGTGGAATATACCCCCCTTCAAGCCTTAGCATGGCTTCTTTTGATAGTCCCAATTGAAACATTCGAATCTTCATAACTGTGTCTGCTATGCTTCAAGTGACGTTCCTTGTCTCCACTCTTTGACACCCCGTGTCATTCTTGGCGTACCAAACTGAAGGACCATCGGTTACCTGAGCATGAGTTTGACGAGAGTTCTACTGAGCTTTGTCACACTTGCCTTTGCGTGACCCCGTGTGAACTGCAACCATTTGACATGCCAACTTCTCTATCACATAACCTACCATACAGCACAAACACATCGTCTCTTTCCACACACTCTCTACCCGCGTCACTCACCCGTCATCCTCTAGCCCGCCCGGAGAATCCCATCCAAACCTTAGCCCCATCCTCACCTCCCAACCCCGGAGTCATCTCCGCAAAAATATCGCCCCAGACGCCGCCTCCAAAGCACGCCACCACCACCAACCGAGACCCCTCTTTTCCTCCCTTCCCAAATAAGGAAAGAAAAGAGGGTGAACCCCACATTCACCTCCAAGCCACACTGACCGGAAACAGTCGTCTTGGTGTCACTACTGCCGCTGCCATGTTCCTGGGAGAAAACTCGGCTTACAGTGAGAAACGTCTGGAAGGTTGTGGAGAAGGTGGATGGGCTCGTTTGACCGGAGATGTAGTGTAGCTGTGAAACATGTTCTGCGCCTTCCTTCTCCGATGACCAAGGCAAAGGTTGATGGGTTGGCTTAGTGGCGGGAGGGAGAGATCGAGGGTCCAGCGACGCTTGACAAGCGGCACTGGGCACGGTATGAACGGGTAGACTGGCAAAGTCGGAAAGCAGGGTAAGAACGTAACGTAACGGAAAGTGAGGGGGCGAGTCACGGGGTTTGGGTCTTGATGGGGGTTTGCTAGGTTCAAACAGCAGTGTCTACCTAGTAGCGACTTCGGCGAGAGATTGATGGTCCAAGGCAAGGACGCGGACGGGCGGCGGGATTGATGACGCCAGCGAGACACCAGACAAGCGGATGAAGCCGGCCACGGGAATCCGGCAAGGGCAAGGACAAGGGCAGCTACCAGCAAGTCTCGGACATAGTTAGCAGTCACCAAAAAAAGTCATTATATCCGTAATGGAGAAACACAACCTGAACATTACAAAGATCTACTTTCCCCCTCCCAAAATGCCAATTTTCTCAGACTATGGATAGATGAGCGCCCCAAACCAGAGCACACTGAATGATGACTTGTTGTTTTTCAAGCTTCCTGTTTCCCAGAAAAAGCAGCGGCGGGTATATCAGCCCGGAAGGAAGATGTGATGTAACCTTTTTCGCAAGAAAGACGGATAGATGAGCAACCAAAGAAAAAATGCAGAGTATATACCGATACAGAGGCGGGAGGCGGGAACTGCCTTTGCATCACCCACGCCACACTAACACTACTTCTGCCCTTGCTCATGTAGCAAACGCCACTACCGCCTGGGAGCCGCCTGCTTCGCCGCCGTGACCAACATCTTGAAACCGTTCTTTAGCGCGACCATATCAGGGTAGACATGTTTCTGTAGCTCGAACGCGTTGGGCACCACCTTGATGGGCCACGCGCCCTTTGGTCCCTTTGCGCTCATTTGGAAGCAGATCCAGAAGTGACCGGGGTATTTGGGCATGCTGCAGAAAGCGTACATGGAGCGTAACGGGTTGGCTTGACAGTAGTTTCCTAGCCATTTTTCTGCAGGTGACGAGTTAGTGGGTGTGTGATGGGGGAGGAGAGGTAAAAATAACTTACCGGCGTCTTCCCGAGTACCGGGTTGGAATCGATCGTCTCGTGTGATTTCGGTGACCTTGCGCGCCATGGCTTCCACATGGTTGACGATCAACTCGTCGAGATCGGAGTATGTGTGCTTTCCAATCTTGAGCTGCTTGCCGAGGGAAAACTGGTTTGGCTTGTTCATCTCCAAGACATCGAGATGTTGGTAGGCGTTGTTGGAGACCTTCCATGTAACGACCAAATGATCGAAACCCTTGGACGAAGGACGAATGACAAGGTCACCAGTCTCTTTGCCACCAAGGTACTCTTCAGCTTGCACCGTGTTGAACGCAAAGAAGAGCGGGTGGTTGACGACACGATTGGGTCGGCCAGTTGCAACCTCCTTCTCCTTCTCGGCTGCCTTCTTGTCCTGAGCTTCTTGTGCCTCATCCCATTCTCCGGCTGCTCGCTCGAAACGCTTCTTTTCCGGTTGTCGGATAAGGTCGCCCCTGAGCGATAGTTGTGCAGTAAGTGCTTTCCGGTTCAGGTACAAAATGCGTGCGCGTACAATCTGGTGGGTGGAGAAAACGTGGCGAGGCTCTTGCCCACCACCACCAACACCCTCTGGGAACTCTGACTCAGAGACGCCAGCTTCAATGCCACACTCCAGCTTCACTTCAATGTGATCTGGGAAAGTGCGCCTGATGGTAACAGGGACGACCATACCCTCGTACAAGGAGTCCTTGGTCTCACCAGTCAACATCGTGAACAACTCATCACCAGACAGCATCGCGAACATCTGTCGGATCTCTTCGTAGGGGTTGTCCAGCTCAGCCCGAATGGTTTCGAGTGTCGCACGCTTGCGCTGTCCAAAATTCCTCTCAATCTCCGCAGCGTAGTCTTCAAGAGCAAGATCATTGACTAGATCGGTGGTCTCTTCCCGCACCATTTTCCTAACAACGGCGCTGGGACCGCCCTCGTCGGTCTCTGCCTTTACATCTTCCTCGTCCATGTTCAAAGCATCAGCAACCATCTTTCGTGCAAGATCGTAATCTTCGGGATGTACTCGGGTGTAATCCAGGTAGTCCGATGATTCTTCGGTCGCGTCGTAAGGGATGTACAAGAAACTTGCACAGTTCTGGAAGACCTTGGGTCCCATGGCCGCCTTGAGATCTCGGGACTCAGATACACCAAGGAGGTCGAACCGCGAAAGGATCTCATCGCTATTAGCTTGGATTGCCTTGATCAGCCTGTCGGCTTTGCGCGGTCCCAGACCGCACACGTAGGGTATTAACTTGGACAGGTACTTGTCGTCATATGTCTCCGGTAGGTCGATTCCGACGAGGTTGACCATGTCCACCATGGCTGTTTCCAGGCGGTCTAGAAGTTTGTCTTGGGGTATTAAAGTCTGGTTGGGTATGAAAGGGATGGAAACAATGTCTTTGCCGAGAGATGCGTATTCTGCGAGAGGATTTTGCAGGTACCTTCCAAGGGCGATACAGTACCTCGTCAGCGCTGGATGTTTGGGGAACTCTGCGATCGCTCGAGCACTGGTGTGGTATAAGCGGGCAACCTCATCGTTGACCAGGATGATCTCAAGAGGTTCATTCCTCTCTTCACCAGTATCCTCGTCCTCGTATGCCGGACCTGTCAAGCCACGCTGGTTGATGATTTCCTGGATGTCCTTGTACAATTTGCGAGTCTCGACTGAGAAGCCACTGACACCGATGACGTCTGGACGGCGACGCTGGATGACATCAACCAGTTTCTCGACGTCTTGGCCTTCAGGAATGTTACGCTCCGGGTTGCCAAGACGCATATCGATCAAACGGCCATGCTCTAAGACGCGACCATCGTTTTCGACATAAGCCCACATGATGGCGTCGCCGCGCATGCCGCTGCCGTTCGATAGGCAGAGAACATTAGGAACAGATCCGAGAGGTGCAGTCTTCAACTTGTAGGGTGCCTGGTCGAGCTTGTTGTAGTAGTTTTCTCTTGCCGAGGCGGCAAGTTCATCCTCGCATCGAGCACGCAGCGTTTCCTTGACGCCGTTCGCAATAACACCTTGTAGCTTATCTAGAGCCGTATCAAGCAATTCTTTGCGGAGAGCGTTCCAAGTATCGGAAACGTCGCTGACACCCTCAGAGACAATCTCTTTGTGAAGACGCGACTTGAAGTTCGGGTAGTTGCCCATGGTGATTCTAACTTGCATGAGACCTTCAGATTCAGCCTTCAACATCTTGAGGAAGAGGTCTGGGCGGCCCTGGAGATCGCCAAAGGTGACTCGACGCAGGTACTTAAACTCATAGTACGGGTTGTCTTCAGTAATTGTGCGCATGCCCTTGTCAGTACGAAGACAGTCAATCTCAGCGTTTTGGTAGAAGCTAGCGCGCAAGTATCTGCGCAGCCGTGAGCACATTTGCAAATCTTGCACGAACAGTAACCTGGTGGATCTGAGCAGAGTGGCGCCCGTCTCTGGGGCTTCGGCCAGCTGATCAGCGAGTTCCTCGACCTTGTAAGGGGGATCTTCAATCGTGTGCGCGCCAGTGTTTGTTCCGTCAACCTTCTTCGCAAAGTCATCTGGTGTGATGCCAATCGCCTTGACGAGTTGGAGTGCCTTCCCGCTCCGCAGCTTGTCGAAGAAGTTGCGTGCGTTGTTGGCACGCTTCTGCGTTCCATTCAATTCCTGGCGGACCTCGTTCAACTCCTGCGAATACTTGTAGTGCAGATAGTCCTGAAGTTCTTGGATCTCTTCGATTGTGGCGGCGCGGTTTGACAACTCCTCGATTTCGGTATCTGTAATCTCAGAGTAAACGGCCTTCAGGTTCTCATAGTTTTGCCTTAGGGCGTCACGCTTCTCAGCAAAAGCCCTGAACTTGAGGTCCAAGTCAAAGACCTCCCAGAGGTCAGCCTGGTTGAGCAGACGCTCTGGTCGCGCGTCCATGGGAGGTGGGTTGTCTATGTCGTCATAGTCATCGTGATCGCTGGGTGCATGAATGAGATAGTCTTTTCGGTGGTTGAAGATGAAGGGAACTTCGTAGTCCTCGATGTTGATGAACTCGAGAACTTTACGCACGGCTTTTTCGAAGGGCTGTGAAAAATATCTCGGGAGACCTTTCTTCGGCCACAGCATGTTGCTGATCCAGGTGGCTTCCTCGGTCAGACGTGCCTGCATGTCCTCTGGTGTGAGTTCGATTTCCTTGAAGGGCTTTCGGGCTAGCTGCAGGCGCTCCGGGATATCGGTCTCGCGAATGACGTTGTCCTCATCCGTAAGCATACGCTCTTGTAGCTGCGATGGCTCGAAGACATCCTTGAGTTGGAGCTCACGGCCTTCGCCAGCTTGCTCTTCCTCTTCCGCCTCTTGCATCTCCAACGCCCAATCATAGTCTGTGCCATCACCGAACGCGGCTCTGTAGTCTTCTTCGGCTCCCTCATCCAGCCCAGCAGCCTGTAGTCCTTTGGTTATCAGGTTTATGCCCGGCTGCGTAACGTCGCGGTCGTCTTCGATCTCATCTTCAAATTTGTCGTCCTCAATAAAATCGTCGAATTCATCGCCGCCAATACGCCGCGGTTCGTCGTAGTCCTCGTTTACGTCTTCGTCGGAGAAAATGTCGTCGACACCGCGGGACTTGACGCGCTCTTTGTGGCCACGCTTGAGGCGCTTGAATCTCGTCTTCCCCTGTGTTAATGACATTCAGCTTCCAGCAGAGCAGAGGGATGCCGTACCTGTTCTTCCGCTGGACGCTCCACTTCAACGCCGATCAGATCAAGATCTTCGTCGTCGAGGGCTTCTTCCTCATCGCGGTTCTTTCTCTTCTTCTTGCGCCGTCGCCGCCGTTCTGCGACTTCGTCTTCTTCGTCCTCCTCCTCGTCAACGACGAAGCCTTCACCTTCCTATATACTGTCAGCAGATGCGATCCCGTTTCTCACACTATAACTTGCCTGTCGGAGTCGGTCCTCATCATCATCGTCTTCCTCCTCGCTGGAGTCGTCGATGCCGTTGGTGCCATTTGTCTTTTTAGGCCTGGGCTCGCCAGCCTCACCAGCCTCGCCATCGAAGTCCTCATCCTCCTCCTCATCGCTGCCCACATCGGCGATTGTGTCAAAGTATTGCGCCATGTTGAAGTAACAAAGGGAACGCGTGCGCTTTTGGTCGGGGGAAGGGCGCGATTGGCGATTGCGTTTTTAGGAGATTCTCGGGGGAAGGAGGTCGATCGAATGCGGCGATTCGGCGAGAGGAAGTCGGGCACAATCGAGGTAAAGGAGGAAAGAAAGACAGATGTAGGCGACCCAAGGTTCGCGCACCCATCGGCCGCGTTAACTTTCCGCCGTACTGACGCTGTGCACGTGACTTGGGTCAGCACGTGATATGCGCGCTAGTGGTCGGAGACTATCACAGTAGTCAGCCTTCCCGAACCTGGCACTGCGCGTGTATCCGGAAGCCAGCCCGTCTGATTATGCGCCCCAGGTGTCCATGGATCAATGTTACAGGCTGATAGACGCGATATCGTCTCCGATAGAGAGAGAGCAACTGAGTCGTATACAGAGGAGGCCAGGGTTTGTTCATCGAGGCGCCTGCACGTTGCAACTGCCTTGCTGCAAACTACTGTATAGTGAGCAATGGTATTGCAGGCAATTGGATGCAAAGTAAGGGAGCTATGTGCAGGTGTTCTATCTAGTGTCGACACCACAGTTTTTGTCTTATGCGCCCGGCACCATGGTCGTGTCCAAGGTAGCGACTCTTGAAGTTCTGCGCTAGAAGCAGGTAGGTGAAGCATGGCGACGGAGAACCATGCCAGTCTGAAACCTCCTGAACGATGCAACAAGTCCGGTGAATCTACTTATCAGAGCATGGCCCCTCGTAGCTACTAACTTGATCGCCAGCTTCTTCAGTCCAGCCTGTACCAAACTGCCAGCTACTCCATTGCCACCGTCTGCGGCCTAGTAGAGTCTATCTTGACGCTGCTGCACACAACCCCACCAGCGCGCCCCACTAGCCGAGAGACTGACACGACCACAACCTCTCCTGAACTGCTTTGCTGCCAACAGCGCCCGAGACATTCTCCTATATATATAACCAGCCGCTTCCCAATCAAGCCCTGTATTCTCTTACCAGTGCCAATTTGTCTTCAGGCGCCCCGAAAACGGAAATCCAATAGACGCTGTCCTCCTTTGGGCATTTGCTGTGATTGGCGTACCATTGTCGACGCAGCTTGGGCGGCAAACTCGAAACAGAAGCCAACACTCGGGCTCTTATACAGCAAACAGAACATCTTTGACGGCATTGTCGCTGCTTTGCAGTCGCCCATCTCCCCCACCTACACCCGCAGCATAACAGCCCCCGGCGCAAACCGATATCATGGCCGAATCATCCTTCAAGCAGAAGACGATGAAGAGGAAGAATGTAAAGGGACTCGCACTCAGCGCTCCACCGCCAAAGCCGGCGCCCTCCGCGGGAGACGCCCAAATACCCGGCGCCCGCGCCAACGACGAGAGACAGGACACGCTGGAGATTGGCGTCGAATTCCAACTGGATCTCAAGGCAGAAGACCTGATAGTATTGCGGGAATTGGGGTCAGGTAATGGAGGAACAGTGAGCAAGGTGCAGCACGCTGCTACCAAGGTCATCATGGCGAGGAAGGTGAGCAGGATAAGCAAGCCGCAGTTGGCGACACCAGACTGACAGCGAAAAAGGTTATACACGTCGAAGCAAAGAACGAAGTAAGGAAACGAATTGTGCGAGAACTGCGCATCATGCACGACTGCAACTCGGACTACATTGTAGACTTTTACGGCGCTTTTCAAAATTCGTCCGGGGACGTGATAATGTGCATGGAGTACATGGATGTGGGGTAGGTGCAATCTACGTTATACTCTGGTTTCATATGTGCTAATCGCGACCAGTTCCCTTGACTGGGTTTCTCGAACATTTGGACCCGTCCGCGTGGACGTACTTGGAAAGATCTCAGAAGCCGTCCTCGGCGGCCTTGCCTACCTTTACAGCGCTCACCGCATCATGCACCGCGATCTCAAGCCTTCGAACATCCTCGTAAACTCAAAGGGAAACATCAAGCTGTGCGATTTCGGTGTCTCCAGTGAGCTAGAGGGGTCTATTGCCGAGACCTTTGTGGGTACAGGTACATACATGGCGCCGGAGCGGATACAAGGATCTCCATATACCGTTAAATCGGATGTATGGAGTGTGGGTCTCACATTGATGGAGCTGGCCATCGGAAAGTTCCCCTTTGCGGGGAGCGGAGATGACGACGAGGCGGGCGGTCCCCAGGGTATTCTCGATCTCCTCCAGCAGATTGTTCTGGAGCCTTCACCAAAGCTACCCAAGAGCGACGCCTTCCCATCGATCTTGGAGGATATGATTGCAAAGTGTCTGATGAAGGACCCTGCGGAGCGACCAACTCCCAAGGAACTATACGTAAGTTTCACAAAATAGCTTTACACCAAGCCAAGTTTACTAACTACTCCAATAGGAGCACGACGCCTTCCTCCAAGCCGCCAAACGCACTCCCGTCGACCTCGAAGCATGGGCCATATCCATGATCGAACACAACAAGCGCAAATCCCACCTCGCCCCTGCCGCACCCGCCGCTACCATCAAAGAGAAGCTCCGCGAGCGATCACCCCCCTCCAAGCGTGATTCAAACGACCCCAGACAAAGAGTCGCGAATGGCGATTCGGATGCCGCTCCCCGCCGTCCTTCACAATCCTCCCGCACAAACAGTACTTCTAGCGTCAACGTCATGAATCTACCTATGCGGCCGGCACCGCCTGTCGATGGCCCTGGCTCAAGACCCGGCTCAAGAGGTCCCGCGGCAAATGGACTGCCCGCGCAGCCCAGGAGGTGGAATAACGAAGTGCAATAAATGGTGGGAAATGACGGGATATGTGCTAGGAAAACAGAGTAGGGGGGCCTCATATAGAATGGAGGAATTTTTTGGTGGTTTCATGTAGTTTCCTTCTGGTGGTAAGGTTGGGATGGATTCTTTTCCTTGTTGTGTTGTTGTTGTCAAGTATATGGGTTGGAAATTTAGTTGCCCTTGAAGGCATTCTTTGTTGGAAACAAAGTGTTCTTGTCATTGATCTTGTGATTTCTGACTATCATGCTTGTATTTCTAACTGTGTGGTATCTCCTACACCCTTGTTTCCAGCTGGAGATCCGACTTGTACATGAGTTTTCGCTATCCTGACTCAATGCGCTTGTACTTTCTCGCCATGATATCCATTCACAAGCATGCTATCCGCAAAACCACTTTCGTTGTCACCTTGATCCTTACACCTCTCTACCAGAATCCAAGCTGGCCATCCTAGGTTACTGGTAATATGACAATGTCATGTTTCTTGCAGTAGTCCGCATACAATTTGCAGTTCCTGTGCCATCTCCTAACAGCGACGAAGCCCGCGAACTTCAGCTTGAACCTCTCTTCCGTATATCTTCTAGCAATGTTGTTCCAATCGAGAGTCAAATCCGCTCGACTGTACGCGCATCGCAGGCGTTCAACACGTGCTTCTGCCAGCAGATCGTCCTCTTTGTCGTCGAACAGCAGCATCCAATTCCGACACAATCTTTGGAGTGTCGGCTCGCTCTGTGGTTCCATCGATGCATCCAAGGAATTACCAGAGACCTCGTTTGGCTTTTTGAACTTGTCATGGATGTTTTTGAGAGACTTCTGCACGTTCTCCGATGAGAGTTTTGATCTGCTTTCGCGCGTTGACATAAGTGGTATCTTTGTAGAAGTCGTCCAGGAATGCCTTCCACTCGAATACTAGCGTATGCTCTTCAAGATCAAATACCAGTCCGGAGTTGTAGATGTCGTTATGGTAGTGTCCTAGTGAAGCGAATTGCCACATTGATGTCTCACTGGAAATATTTTTCAAGTATCCCAGTTCTCCAAAGGCAACAGTCTTAGCCAATTCTCCCACAGCTTTCTTGAATGTCGGATTATCTCCATGATGTTGATTGTTTGCGACGAGGCCGAACTGAGCGCGCTTTCCATCCTCAATTAAGCACTGCAGCTCTCTCGCTTTGACTTCGTATCTGTGTAGAGAGGAATCATCTACTTCGAAAAACCATGTCAATTCAAGGTTTGGAAGGCGTGTTTGTGCAAATTCACGTTCTGCTTCCACCCGGAACTCTCGACACACTTGTCGGCACGTGACCCAAAGCGTATAGTCATCGTCAAGTTGATGAAGCACTTCACCTCAAAGCTCAGGAGGCAAGTGATAGCGGGGCGGACTCGAGGCTGCTGTTGCTGTTGCTGACCTATAGCCACTTTAGCGCATATCTCCCATCTATTCTCATTTTTCACTTACGCTAGTGCTGGCAAGCCGCTGTTATCGTCGAGGGAGGCCATCTGATGGGGCGAGTAAGGGGGTTTGAACAGCTATACGTTGAGTAGCGCTGCTGGCTGTGTAAGCCGAGCGGTCGCGTCGAGGAGGACTCGAGGATGCACCTAGATGTCACAAAATACTTGACAGTGTGGGTAAGCACCTGATAGGCGTGTTTGGCAACTACAGTAGCCCTTGTACACTGGTACGTCAAGTATCTTATGATACCCAGGTGGATGTTGTAGGAAGAGAGGAAAAGCTTTCATGTGTAGTTTGCGCGAGGAAAAGATTATGGAGTGTGGGGTAGAAGGTGAGAGACGTTTCATTTGTTGATGTGGTCAATGCGCAACTTCACTGCGCAAGGAGTGACATATCATAGACGAAAGCGGGGAGAAATGTCATGAGATAAGTGCGCTAGTTTTATGAGTCAAAACACGGAAGAGAATGCAGTGGTACGAAATTGACATTGACGCCACACAGATGAGAATACAGCAAGGAAATCTATCATAAATCATAGTCATACCTATCTAACATGTGATACTTTACAGTAAGACACCCTCTAGGAAGCCGTGCTGATCACCGGTACCTTTCCTATGCTTTCTCTCCTCTCCTCGCTATCGTAAGAAGACACCAACTCAATCCTCATGCTATTTTGCCTCAGAATTTGCCGTTGCTGCTCCCTCACCAACCGCATAGGACCACGGAAGAACGCCGATAGCAGATCCGAGATATTACACGCGTCTAAGATTGCATTCAAAGGGCTAGCAGCAGGGCCACCTTGGTATTTGTATGGTCTTGGGGAAAAGGCAACAATCATCAGGATGGCAAATATGGGCATTTCGCAAGAGAGGATGAGCGAGGCAAGGCCTGTGTTGATGTCGTGGAAGGTCATGTATTTGTTAGGCCTGAGCTTGCCATGGCCTGCAAGTAAAGAGATGACAAACTGGTGTTGTGTTAGATTGCGTACAAGAAAGGGACTGGCGATGAGTGGTTGGCTTACCGATTGGAAGAAGTTGAGACCAAGCACTGATTTGAATGTGAAAAGCTTCAGAAGAATTTGATGCTTCTGAAGTAGTTCCTTGTTCTTGTTGTAGAAGCTAACAGATTGCAGAATGGCGAGGGTGGTTGTGCATGCATCCAATATCATGAGCCAGATGTGGGCAAAATGTACACTATTGGACTGCTTGCAGTATTTATCCGTAACCAATGTGGCCACCGTAACGATCCACAACATAATGCTCACTGGAATAAACTGGAGTACGCTGTACCAAACCCGCTGTTGCATGTTAGATAGGTATTCATGACTCTAAAGATGACATCTCTTACCTTCATCCAAAACGGGCTCTTAGCATTCATTGATCCTCTGGCCCTCGCTCCGTCTCCGAACAACTTATCAAATCCTTCCCGATGTGCAAGTACAAGGTCGCACATGAAAAGTAAAAACGATGATAGCGCAATTGAGCAGCCAAGGTCTAGAGAAGGGGCAAGATATTCTCCTGCTGCTTCATGCCATACGACTAGGAAGGAGAATAGAGCGACCCATGGTACCAAGGAGATGATGCGAATAATCTGTCGTTGTTGCACCGGGTTCGAATAGCTGAGAGAATGTAGTACGACCAGCGTTCCGATTATGATTGTACTGAGGATCCCACAGGCGGCGGATAGTATTATTGCGAATTGATGGAAGGAGAGGTTGGCGATGAAAGGAACAATTGGTGGGCCCTGAGTGTCTTCCGCGGGACATATGTTTGGGTCTTTAGGCCGCTCTAGAAGGCCTCTGGCTGTCATCGTAAAGGTATCCATACAGAAATCTGAATCGTGTGTTCAAGAAGATGTGGATGCAAATGGAAGTGGTCGAAACAGCCGGGTTGTTTGTGAAACCAGAAGTCACTGCACAGAACAAGGTGAGACGATGATATCGCTCAAGACCGTAAGACCTTTATACTACATATTAAGATCATCTCAGTCTGACTAGAATCTATGCATAACGTAGCCATGTTTGAGGCCTCCGGCAATGCGGTGGCTGAGGTATCCATGATCCCCATCCTTTACCAACGCTCAGCTTACCGTATGAAGTAAATAGTGCTTTCTGAAGCATCCCTTGGCAAGCCTTATGTCCTCGCCACGGAGCTTAGCAGCTCAGTGAACGTACGGTGCATAGGGTTTGCGGGAATAACGTTGCGTGACAAAGGCTGGATGCCTGAAGTTGATGTGCGCGCAACATGCGCCTGAATCAACATAGCGCCAAGCGTGTTTGGGATGCGATTGGTCAAGGATACCTAGTATGGAAACGGCTGTGCTATGAGACTTGAGCGAGACCTGATATTCATCGTCAGTTGAATATCTGCTTTAGCTAAGAGTTGGGCAATGGTTCCCCTGTGCTTGGTTGGCAGATGTTTTTCATTTCTATAGTGACTGCTGGTGGCCCAACGTAGATAGAAGGAACCTTGCAGAATCCAGCTACGAGCTCACATCTAATCATCACCGCCCCCTATCGGACCGCTCACTTGCTTCGCCGATTTTGCGGCAACAATGTCGTCAACCCTCAATAGCAGACAGGCGCTCTCAACGGCAGTCTTGACACTCTGTTCCTTGACCGCCAGAGGCTCCCATACGTTGTACGTCCGCATATCGACGACCTTGCCCGCATCGCCGTCGATACCCCAGACGCTTCCAGTTTGCTTGCCGTCCTCATAACCCTCGGCGTGCTTTGCACGTAGTTGAGTTAGCACCTTGATCGGACTGTTTCCTGAGTTTTGGATGAGTGTGCGTGGGATGACTTCCATGGCCTCGGCAACAGCCTTGTACGGCCATTGTGCAACGCCCTCAATCAGCTTGCCTTTCCTGTCCAGGCCGACAGCGATGGCCATCTCCGTGGCACCACCGCCTGGGCACAGCTTGGGGTTCCATATTACGTTCCTGGCCACACCCATGGCATCATGTAGATTCCGCTCAATCTCGTTCAGGATGTCTTTTGAGGGACCCCTAAGCATGATGGTACAAGCCTTGGGGTTCTTGCACTTTGTAAGGAAGGTGAAGTACTCGTCGCCAATCTTGGAAATCTCGAACAGACCGCACTCGGTACCAATGTCTGACGCGGTTGCCGAGAAGACGGAGTTGACGATCGTCGCACCTGTTGCACGAGCGATACGGTTGTTGTCGGTCTTGCGGACCCGGCGGATAGCGGTAATATTGGCCTTTACGAGGTAGTGCTGTGCGAGATCTGATCCTTGTTAGCGAACATTTGACAAATTGAACTGGGGGTAACGTACCACTCACGCCCTTCTCAGTGATGACAAGGTCGGGCTTGAGGGCGATGATAGCATCGCACATGTTCTTTACCTGCTCCTCCTCGATTTGCAGTATCCTGTTCCAGTCCTCCTCTTTGCTGACTTCAATGTTCGTTTGGCTCTCGCCCTTCTTGTACTCCAATGTGCAGTCCAAAAGCAGAACACGGGGGTTCTCGATCTTCCGCCTCATCTTGGGGTGTGTAATGTCTTTGTTGACCATGACTCCGTCCAGAACCTCACTATCCTCGATTTCGCCTCCAGGAATCTTCTCAATACGCGCGTAGCGCTTGATGTCGACCTCCTTCTTGCCAGACCCAATGTCGAGTGAGACAGTCCGGACTGCCTTTAGGGCAAGGCCACACATCAGGTCCGACCATCGCGAGACGAACTTTGTGCCAATTGAGGAGTTGATAATCTTGTACATCTGCTCGTCGTCGTTGACGTCGACTTCGACGGCGATTTCACTGATGATCTCGAGCGCGTCGGCGAGAGCCTTCTTGAAAGCCTGGATAATGACGACGGGGTGGATGTTGCGCTCAAGCTGGGGCAGAGCTTGTGCGAGGATCTCTCCCGCTGCTTGTTGTCAGATTCTGCATTTGTTTGTCCCCGCATATCTACACACCTAATATGATGACGGTGGTTGTGCCATCGCCAACCTCCTCGTCCTGTGTCCTGCTGAGCTCAATCATGCTCTTGGCTGCCGGGTGCGCGACTTCAATCTCTCGAAGGATAGCGTGACCGTCGTTGGTGAGGACGATACCGCCCATGGGGTCGAGCAGCATCTTCAGCATGGCCTTAGGGCCGAGACATGATCTGATAATGTCGGCGACCGTCTTGGCTGCTGTGATGTTGGATAGCTGAGCTTTGCGGCCAAACTGCCGCTCCCCGCCCGGGGTCTGCGTGTCTGTTGTTGTGTTAGTGGGTGGGCTGTCAAGGCTTCAGATGTTTTCTCAGCTTACTCATAACCACCACTGGCGCCTGCATTGTGATAGCCGGGGTCTGGAAACACGGTAAAGAAGAAAGAGGGGCTCGTTATTAGAGTTGCGTGGGGTATCTTTGGTTTGGTGCCTGGCAGCTTCTCCGCTAACTTTTGCTACCACCAAAAACCGCGTCGCAACCGCCACTATTTGCCGGCGCGGATTATCTGCCGCCGACGTTCAGCCACACCCCCACCAGCCACTGCTGACACATGCACTGCTGACTGATGCAAGACTAGCCTGCGATCAACGGCAACTTCCGTCTTGTCGGTTACGTCACGTGCCTGTCACCTATCGGCCCTGTTTGCCTTACACAGAAGCTTGGCGGCTGCCGGATACGGCCGCCAAACATCGTCAGCCGGCCAATGCACGCTTGACCTGCCCTGAGCATGGCTCGCCGGACCATTTTGCCTTACATTCTGCCGCTCCTCACCGCGTTGCAGCCAGCCTCTCACGGGACTCGCGCGCAGCTTACAAGACTGCTCTGGCGCCCACGAAACCTTCCCTCCTACATCTCACTTCTTTGCGCCAACCCTCACATTCCACCTTTTCGCTCTTCCTCACCTGAGCTCCATATACCTCGATCAATCTTCACTCATCTTTAACCTCATATCATCCATCATACTTGCGCCTTACTCTACTCCCATCATCTGCTTCATCATCTTCTATCATCGTCGTTGCTCTTAGTAGCAGGCAAGGTCGTCGTGTGCTGCTCATCTTCTGTCCAGACTACCTGGCAGACATTTGTATCCTTGAACCCTTGTATCATTCTAATCTACTAAACTTACAGTATGGGTCTGAACTACTACGCCTCATCGCCAACCGTGGTCCTGCCGCCCCAACAACCGCAGGCCTACTTCTCACATCACCAAAGCGCCTCATCACCAATGGGTAATATGCGTCCCAAATACCCTACTCCACCATCGCTCAACTATCTAGCCGCAACTTCCAATGCCACCGCTGGGCGCAAACGTTCCATTGCCGACGTCGACGAACCGGAGGAGAACCTACCTGTCGGATCCATTATCACTCAATCGCCTTCGAAACCAAAGGCCGAGCCTGTGTACGGCCCAGGAATGACCCTCATCTACCCTGGAGAGCCCGGCTACAGAATGGCTGCCGAGTCTCAATCAGGCACCTGGTACGAAGAGAAAATCGAGAAGGAAGAGAAAGCTGAAGCTGTTCGTCCTATTGCCATCTCGCGCAAATCAGTTCGCATGAGCCCAACTGCCAATATCCAAATCCCCTCCCTCAACGACATGGACGCTCAGAAGACTGAAGAGCTCATCGACGACAACGGCACTACAGTTAATAAGCTCATCATGGCCCTCGGAGTAGGCTGGAAGAACGTCATGTCCAACCCCAACCTACGCGATGCAGCACGCGCATATGCGCGCGTAATTGAGCGTCACTTCGACTTCACTGATGCTCTTGTCATGCTTGAGAAGGAGTCGATCAATGCCTACCTGGTACGCGCCAAACAACACGGCGTCCAAGGCTACTGGCTATTCTCGGACAGCCTCCAGTGGTGCCAGCTCGTAGGGTGGTCGCTTGAGCGAACAGTCAACAACCTCATGTTCGGATCTACTCCTCGCGTCGAGGGCGAGCGCATCAATGCTCGCCAGCTCACTCCAACTCCGGAGCCTGCTGCGGCGTCCATTTCCCAGCCCGTCGCCGACATTCCCATGGCTGCTGCGGACGTGGATGCAATGGAGATGTAACGCGTCTCAAGCAATTCCTTCTCGGTCTTCTCCCACTACATGGCAACAAAATATCTATCGGTTATCGTCTCCGGTTGTATTGATTTACGCTTTCGACTTGTGGTTCCTTCTTCGGCGATTCGGCGTTCGGTGGTGGTCACGGATGGCTCACCGGAAATGACTGATTTGACATGTATTATATTGCTATGCTTTTGCTGCGACAGCTTGATCGAACATTCTTGATCGCTCCAGCTCAGTGCCACTAAACACACCAGACATCAAACAAATGAAACTATGATCTACATTCACATATAGCTCCACCCATGCATGTGATGTGATGGCTAAGGTGTGAAGTCAGCCTCCAATTCTGCTTATCCCTCGTCGCACAACGTGGCTTGTTCCACGATAACTTGAGAAAGCAATACCGGTCGAATGACCTTGATTGTTCGACTCCGCGCACGCATTTCTGCTCAGCCGACGTAGATTGCAGTCTAAAAATGGCAACCCGCGCCATCAAGCACGGCTTTGCCTACGCTCCAAGCGCTGCCGAAGATACCGCTCCTCAGCAACGCGAACATGTCGCGCGCAACGCGTCGCCCAGCACCCCCGACACCATTGCCTAGGCGACAGTCGCACGCACCTACATCCATATCCTCCAGTTTCGGCATTACCGGTAGAGCTCGCCTTTGGGGACGTCTCAAACAACAGTCTAGACCGGCATCGTCTGCGGGGTCTGAGACTGGCCCGCTGATGTCCGGCCGGATACGGCTTCTGACCTTTCAGTTGATTCACGCATTTGCCGCAAGCACAAGCTTGAAACAAGGATGTGCTTAACCTGAAGAGCGAGGTATGCAGCTTTCGGGGTGAGTTGAGAGGGGCATGGCCAGCCTGGCTTTGTTGGGACTTGGGGTTGGGGGCGACGATGCGACACGAGTTCGGCATGGCTTTTGGCTTTGATTGGGGTAACAGCCCGCCGTGTGCTGCATCAAGCCTGTCGCTGCGAGGGCTGATCCCAACACACTCCAACACGCTCACGAGACGCACTTCTTATCATGACCGAAGCTATTGGTGGACTACGTTGCAGGCAGCTCTCGGAGACTAAGACCTACACTACGTATGTACTTGTCCCTTGTCTGGACTCGCAAGCTTCACTTCAGCCTGCATTGCGGTGAACGACACCGACTTGTCCATCTCCGGCGCCTACCACTGCCGCACATGTTTCCACAAACAAACTTAGTAAATTTGCGAGCATCGAGTGCTGAAGCTTTCGTTGACCCTGCGCTGGGCTAAACTGCGACACGACGTGCGAAACTTTGCAGGGGTTTTCCGCCCGGTTTTTATTTCGATCGACAGTGTCGTAATACTGTAGGTTCATCTACTACCATTCCTGTACGGAGTGAATTCCGAGTAAGCAGAAAGACGGCCAACAATGGGTTTCGCGATTCTGCGTTTGCTTCGCGGCGAAGGAGGACGCTGCTGAAGTTTAGTAAGCAGCGGGTCCTTCAAGCCAGCCAAAATGCCCTTAGAGCGGAACTCCGAAGCTCTCATCATTAACGCTCAATCGATTGCATTCCTCTATCACATATTCGAAGCAAGGACAGATGTCTTACTCGCAGAACCGTGACGTCTTTAGCGTACCGTCTGACCGAACCCTCTGGCCCTCAACGAATGGATTCTTCGAAATGCTCGTCTGCCCTTGTAATCTTCCCATGATGCTCAGCAATGACTTACAACGGACGTTCCACTCAACAATATCAGAAGTCCAACCCATGTTAAACTCTGCTCAAGAAATTCTATTGGCTGAAGGGTGCTTACAGCCCGACCACAAAACATATCTTGTGCTTGCCATCAATTCCACGACGATGCTATCCATGAACACAAGTTAAGCATAATAGCTTCTATGTACATGCTTACAAGCGCCGTATCGGACTGATAATAAACCCCCGAATATGCATCAGCACAGGCCGTTTCTCAACCAGATAATAGAGAGCAGCGAAAGCGCAATCGCCATACCACAGCATCAAGTGGCACTTTTTTTTGAAGTGTATAGTTTTTCTTCCTTCACGCTGCGCATTCTATGTGTATAGATATCCGTCTGAACGAAGTTATACTTGGTCCTGCCCCTCACTACGCCCGAAGGCAGCAGCGCTCTACGACTCGATCACGACCTATCACATTTCCCAATGACGAAAGATTCGAAAACAGAGCTCCAATAGTGTCGCGTTATCAAAGGAATCCAACACCATCACAACGAGTTTTGATATGTGCTCGCCACCTTGGTCATTCACCATCATGACGTTGTCTAACAATGAATGTCGATTTTGCACACCCTTCAGCTTACATTATGCCACCCCTTGCAACTTAAGATCTCATTTTGAGTTGAACATGACCATCTAATTACCAATATTCTACCAAGATGCCGTTATGTCGCCTCTGCCAGTCCCTAGACATCCTCAACATTCCCAAACTATCAGATGACTACAACGCCTACCCCATACCCTTGCGTACTTATCCCACTCAGATTGATATATACAGCTCACGCCTTGGCGCCCTCTACAGAAAAGACCCCAGTACACCCGCTGAACTCGAACCCTTAGGTCTTCCATTCCACCAGTCTATTGCCGATCTCGCCGCCAGCGCTGCCTCTTGCGAGATCTGGGGCGTCGTTCATCACGAGGTTACGGAGTTTATGACTGAGCTAACAGATACAGCGACGGAAAAGGGACCAGACTGGCGGATGTGGATAGTGAGGGGAAAGAGGGATACGGGTGACTTTCTGGTGGTTTCAGGGGACCTGAATCAATGGTATCGTATTTGGGTCGTCGCTGCAGTGGGACTGTGTGTTGATTGTACGCTGCCCGACTACTCTGTCATGGATTTCGTTGCTAATGTGTTGCGACAGACAACGATCCTCTAAGTTAAGCGCGCTGATCAGAGGCCGGGAGATCCACAGTTCCTCGTCGGACGTACTAGAGCATTGCGTCACGTGGGTGCACGACTGCGATGGTCAACATGCCAATGAACGTTGTCACGTCGAAGCAGCGCCGCTTCCCTTGCGCGTACTCGAAATTCAAAGTTCCAAACCGTACAGTGTATGCTTGTACGAAAGCCAGGATGGAAAAGGGCGATATGCAGCACTCAGCCATGTTTGTGACGATGCCATGATGAGCAGCGCGAGTTTTGAGGAACACAATGACGGTATTGACGTTGAAAAACTACAGAAGACATACCAAGACACGATTGTCGTTGCAAGGAAGCTAGACTTACGTTACCTTTGGATCGACAAGCTATGGTGAGTTCTCAGGACCCCGGAATGCCTACCTCTCATGCTTTTCCTCTACTCTTTTGCAATATCTGACGCATAAACAGTATATCCCAGGAAGACGCCGCAGAATGGCCCCGCGACTCCCCTCGCTTCACATCTGTCTACTCAAACACATACATTGTCCTTGCTGCCACGGGCTCGGGAACGGACAACGATGGATTATCCATCTTCAACGCAACGCGAAGTATACCCACATACTATACCTTCCCCCACACCACCACTACCAAAGAACCCCCCTCTTACAGGTATAATCCACGCATTCCGCGGCTCTCGCGAAGACTTCACCATGTCCAGACCTAGCGACCTCCTAGAACCCGAGCCACTAAGCCAACACGCCTGGGCCTTCAAGAACACATATTCGCCCCACGAATCCTAAATATCTGCAAAAAAGAAGTCATGTACCAATGCCACTGCACTTCATAACGGAAACCGGATATTACTCCCCCGGCCGCAGCGACCCCCATCTACCCGATCCTCCATCCTCCAACACCACCACCACCATATTCACAATCTCCCAACAACTAGACGCATGGTACTCACATGGCACTACATCCTAAACACCTACTCCCGCCTCTCCCTCCTACACCTCACACACAAATCCCCCGCCCTCTGAAACATCGCCGCCACCTTCGTCACCACATACCCAAACACCTGCATCGCAGGTTTCTGGCGTAAATCCTTGCTGGAAGGTCTCCTGTGGCAAGCCATCGGCACCACCACGGCTACCTCTTCTTACCGCGCCCCCAGCTGGAGCTGGGCACGCATGGACGGCCCGTTTGGCGTGTTCGTCCCTGGTGCAAGTCACGGCGACGGGACGTGGAGGGCACTGGCGCAGATAGACGATTGTGAGGTCGAGTTGGAAGACGAAAAGCGGCCGTTTGGTGGAGTACGTTCAGCGGTGTTGAATATGCGCGTGCCGTTTGAAGTACTCGTTCCAGTGGGCTTTACAGGCGATGTGGAGGCGTTTCCACCGAGGCAGAAAGGTGTTAAAGTGAAGATTAGGGGTGGTAAGACAAGTGGTTCTTACGCTGTTTTCGACACGCCGCAGCATGTGGAGCATGCGAAGGGGAGGGAGTTGAGCGCGTTGGTGCTGATGGCGCGTGAGAAGGAAGGCGGGTTTGGGTGTGGAGCTGCTTGTGGGGAGGACGTGAGTAGGGAGGCGTTTCATTGTGTTGTTGTTGCTAGGGTGGAGGGGGATCGAGAAGAGGAAGAGCTGCCGAGTTATGAGAGGTTGGGTAATGAAGGGCGTGCGGGGATGACTGGAGAGGAAGGAGAGGGGCTGGAGAGGTTTGTATTTGTTTAAAGTGGATGGAAGTTGGTGAGATGGGGTGGATGTGGATAGGGTTAGGTACGGCGAGTATACACATCTCTTATTCCGCGCTCGACGACTATATACGAATATACGATTACCCAACCACCAATGATTACTATTTATCCTTTTTTGTATACAAAATAATGATGATAATAACAAGGAAATCTATAGAGACAGTAATAGGACCAACTAGAAAGACAGACAGGCTAGACAAGCGCGGTGTGAGTATAGGTATTACAGAAAAGAAAGGGAAGAAACAGTTCTAGTTGGGAGAGAGAAAAAGAAGAACGAGGAAAAACGCCCGGGCCAATGCATCTAGATACCCCCCAACCACACCACACCACCCTATGACAATGCAGACAAGACGGAGAAAACAAGGACAGACAGACAGACAAACTGCCAAGAATTAGGGAAAGAGAAACCCCAAAACGCAGACAAATGGACAAAACCCCAGCGGTATCAGCATCTTCACCACTACCCGCAAGTATGCCAATCTATACAACTCCCCCTTCTCAACCCCACGGTAGTATCTCTTCAAGCCTCAAGTCCAATTAATTACTGCAAAACGGTTAGCTTTCATCCCCACGCAAAACAAGGAATAACCACTTACTAAATCTCCAACGGCGCAATTTGATCCACATTATACAACCACCCACCGCCTCTCTCCTCACTCTCCAGCCAATCATACGGCCAAAGTACAATATGTCCCTGGACCAATTCCAGCAACCTCTTCGCATCCTCCTTATCAAGCATGATATCCGCATCCGTCGCATTGAACGTCTTATTCGAGCTCTTAGTCGTCGCGCGTCTCCTAGAGCGCTTAGTGTTGGAGCGATTGGGCGTGCTTCCTGTTGCTTGGCCCGTTTGATTGGGATGAGCAACAGGTTCGGAGATAGTGACTTGGCGGCCGCGGTCACGCATCGAGTGCGAGGTTTGCGGTGGAGGATGCGAGGCGAAGTCTGTGCTGGCAAAGTCGGAGGGGATGGGTGGAGGGGCGGGGAAGGTGAAGGTTTTTTCAGGGAGGCCAGGGTTCATGGGACTGACGACGGCGTCGTCGGCGGGTTCGGGGGCGAGCTTCTCGTTGAGTGTGGAGCCGGATGCGGTGTCGAGGTGGAGGTTTTGACGAGAACCAGCAGCGGTAGGGGCAAGTTTGCTGGATTGGACGCGTTGTTCTTGGTCTTCGGCCCATTGTTCGACGCCACCCATGCTGGAGTGGTGCGTGTTCTCGCCTTGGGGACCTCCGCGGTTGCCATCGGAGTTGTTGGTCATCTTCTCACTGAGCTTCTCGCCGAGGGCGCCGACTTGCTTGCCCATGTTGCCGGCTGTGGAGGTGAGCTTGCTGGTGATACCTGTTCCTGGTGGACCGGTGGTACCGGGTGCGTCTTGCTGCTTGTGCATTTGGCCCTTGTCGCCGCCCTGGGATTTGGTGAAGCGCTCGGAGAAGGCAGCATACTCTTGGTATTCCTTCCATGTTCGTACTTCGTTGTCGGGCATGCAGCGGAAGACTTGCCGGAACAACTTGGTGTTGTTCTCCGCAATCTGGTGCCAGGTGTCGAGGAAGAAGCTATCGTTGATGGGATCGCGCATGCAGTCTTCGGTGACGATGGGCCGTCGCATCTCTGAGAGAAGAGGGTTGATTGCAGCGGACGAACCTTGACTGAAGCTGCGTTGGAGAGCAGGAGGCCCACCGATATCGGTATCGTCCAAGATTGGCAGTGCAGGGAGCTGACTGAGCTGTGTAAGACCCAGCTTCGTCGTATCCATACGCGGAAGCTTGGGGGGTGGAAGACCAGCGTATCCAGTTCCGTCTGTCTGCGCGCTAGTTGTACTATGCCGAGTACCTGTGGTACCACTACGCTTTCGTGTTTTGAGTGTGCCACTCTTCCTTGGAGTGGCCGCATGGCCTTCTGCAGCAATATCCGTCACAAGCTTCTCGTGGCCGTGCTCGTCAATGTAAGAGTCCCTGCCCTGAGATATCTCCGGTCGGTGCTGTGAAACTTCGAGCATGTGGTCGGGCCCTTCGCCACGAACGTCCTTGGTATGCGCGGTATTGTTCTGTACACGGGTATCCGCGGAAGGCTTTTTGCTATTATGTAGGTGAGGGTTCTGGTCCTGCGCCCAGTCGAAGTCGTGGTTGAAGCTGTGCAGCTTTTCGGCCTTTTCTATAAGCTCATCCTGCATTCTGTAGTTGTTCTCTTCCAGCTTCTGTTCAGTCGCGCGCTGGGCTGTCGGCGATCCAGGCCCAGATGACTCAGTGTGAAAGCCGACACTATCGGCATCATCGGACATCTGGCTGATAATTTCCTCTTCTGAGATGCAATCGACATCGATGCCGAGATGCTCGCGCATGAGACGCATTCGCAGGGTGTGGGGGAACTTGCCGACCTTGTATGGCTGACCACCCATGTACGAGTCAAGTAGTTCAGTATCGCGGATGATGGCTGCAACTTCAGAATCTCGTGAACCCAACATAGACCGCTCGTTGATGTTTGCAGATCCGATGATAGCAACTCGATCGTCAACTACCATGATCTTGGCGTGAATGTAGAGCTGTTCCGTGACAAGCATTTTGTTCGGACCAACCTCGCCCCATGACCTCAGAGCGTAGAACTGAATGTAGTCTTCGGGCTCAATGCCAGCAGCCCGCAGACGACCAAAGATGGATCCTTCTCCACGGCAGATACTGTGATACTGGCACGTCATGATGAGGCGGACACTGCTACCTTCTTGTTCATCGACAGTATTCTGGTATCCAGGCATCAACGGCAACATGATGCACGCTCTCCAGTCTTCGTCATTTGCGTGCGCACGCTTGATACGGTCGACGATTGCGTCGTTGATCTTGTTTTCAATCTTGGTGCCGAGCACTTCGCTGCTACTAATGTAGAACTGGTTCTCAATGTAGACGAAATGTTCCGACGTGGCAATCATTTGCACATATGCGTTCATGATGCTGTGCTCGACCTTGTTGGGAGTTCCCAGAGACCAGGCACAGGCAGAACGGAGGATCTGCACTTCGCAGGTTCCATCGAGACCCAGGGCTTCTATGTCAGCTGGGTTGAAGTCGGGCGGTGGCAGGAGGAAGGGCGTAGGTCGAGAAGGCTTCCTCTGGCGTAGGAGATAGTTCCAACGCTGGACGAAGTGACGGGTCAGATCGCGGGCAGGCTGGCCAACGATTTGCATGCCGACGTCGTGCCATGGCATCCTGGGCACCTTCGCGCGATCGTACATCTCTTCATAGGGTTTGTCGAGAGCGAAGAAATCTTGTACACGAGGATTGGAATAATCCTTACCCGGCCACAATTGACAGTGATCGGCGTCCTTCGGGGTATCGTCGAGCTCAAAGCCAGTGGGCTTGTCGTCTACCACGACGTGCTGTGGTGTGTCCCAGCGACCGAAACACAAGTCGACACCTCCGCAGAAAGCAACGGTGTGGTCGATGACGCAAATCTTCTCGTGATGCGACCAGAAGAACGTATTTTGACGGATCTGGTTTGGCGAGCGCTGTACGAAGATGTTGGGGTGAAGATCGAGCAAGGAGAACTTTGAGTATTCAGAGTCGATGGGGATGGCGGCACCGATGTTGCGATACATAATCACAAAAATCTTGACGCCTTCCTGCGCCTTGCGTTGCAGCAGTCTGTCGAGCCGCCACTTTTGGCTGATGGCAGCTGGACGACGGAGGTAGAGCTCAGGACTTAGCCACCAATCGTGAATGTAGATGACGTCTCGAGCCATGCTGATTGCTCGTGACACATTCCACATGTAGTCGCGACCGTCAACCAGCCACTGGGCGTAGATCTTCTTGCGCACTGGAGCAAAACTGTCGAATCGTTGGCGTTGAGACCACAGAGTGTTTTGCGACATGAAGTTGATTGACTCTTCAAATTGCTGCAGCATACGGTCGTTCCTAGCGAGTAGCTTCATCTTACGCTCAGCATTGACAAGCTTCAGCTGGTGGTGACCAGTCGCGGATGCCTTTGCTTCACTCGCAATGTCCCTGGCTTTCTTATCCCGTATCCTGCCGCTCTTGGACTCAAGACTGAAGTCGGCATCCACCAAGAAGACATCGTAGACGTTCATCTCCTCGGGAGAGTCTACGCAGACGACGTAGCTGTGCCTAACAAGGAACCACTTTGGCCAATGACGATTCATCAGGGCGATCTTGGTCCAGCCTTTCCTATTGTCGACACCCTTGGATGACTTGATCATCATGTACCCCTCTTTACCGTGGTAGCCGCCTTCAGCAGCTAATCGGACACCGAGGGCAGAGAGCTCAAGAAACTTGCACAGCCGGTTGCTGTCAGGACGGAAAATGAGGTAGGTCATGAGTCCTCGCAGGTAAGACTCGAGCTTCTTCCGTTGTCGTTCGTGATGGTTCTGTTTTGCTTGCAGTGGCTGCCCGACGGTGCCCGCAAAACTACCTTGTCTTGTTGCGAGTCCGCCAACGGCGCCTTGAGCCTGACTACCACTCACGCTTGACTGTCTGCGGCCCAGGAAGGACGACTTGCCTCGCTTTGCTCTGGCGGGGCGTTCGGTAGCGCTTGCATCGCCGTCGGGTCCACTGGCGGCACCGCCAACTGCAGTCTCTTCCTCTTCCTCTTCTTCCTCGTCGTCTAGGATACCATAGCCACGAAGACCTCGAAGATAGGGTAACACACTTCTAGGGAAGCGCGGTAGCTTTGTACGCGGGTCCTCCTTTTCCTCTTCCCCGTCATTCTCGCCGTCCTTTGCAGTCTTGTCTTTGATTTCTCGCTTCGCGGGACGACTCCTGAAGGCGTCTTGCTTCTCCTGGACCTTGAACTTGAGATGCAGATTGGCAAAGTCAGCGACACTCCTGTAGACGACCCACTTCATGCGGGTTAGACCACTGCCATATTCCAGCTCAATGCGCAAAGCCGTGTGACGATCACCCTCTTTCCTGGCGGGACGGTCCGTATCGGTAATGGTGACCTTGAGCTGTTCTAACAAGACAGGTATCCGCTTGTGGCCATGCTCGTCACGCTGGAACATACTGGCAAGGAACAAGGCTGCGGGCGCTCCTGCGAGCAGTTCAGCCATGAGTTCAGCAGACTTTGCGTGATCAATCTGACGCTCAGCCTTTTGACGGTTACCCAAAAGCTTGAGGCTCTGCTTAATGGACTTCCACTTCTGGGCACTCAGACTTGACGTCCGCTCACTGCGCATCCGCCACGGCGACGGCTGGCCATCACCGGCGGCACCCCTGAAGGTTGTCAGGCTGCGCAGGTTGGTGGGTCTGCTTTGCTGGCCTTCTTCGTCGGCGTTGGGGTCGTGTCTCCGCAGACCGCCATATGAAAGCCCCCTAGCACTGTGCAGGCCACGACTCCAAGCGCTCTCCTTTGCTATACGAGAGCGGCCCTCGTCTTCTGAATAGCCTTGGCGCTCATTCTCGGGTATATCGTCCATGGTGGAGCGGCGAAGGAAGCCCGGGCGCGACGAGGTGGGTGTCATGCTCGGCGAGTCTCGTGTGTCTCGTGAGAAGAAGCCGGTCTGTTTGGGGGTTGTAGGTGCCGTCTGAGTGCCCTCGACTTCGCCCTCAAACCAGCGCCGGCTGCTCTTCCTCCTCTTCTGCCTGGGCCTTCTCAACGCACCCTCGCCTGCACTGGACTCCCCATCGGCGTCGGCTTCGCTATCGTGACCTTCGAATCGCAGCTCGTCGTACTCGGATGTGGGTGACAATTGGCCGTGGGGTGATACGCCCTCGGGGCCAGAGGATCCTCCAGCAAAGGCACTCATACTCCGGCCGTGGCTTGATGGCGATGCCAGTGCCCGCAACTTGCCCATGAGTGATGAGGCCTGTGTCCGCTCCTTGCCCTTGCCATCGCCCTCGTCCACCTCCCATGACTGCTGCCGTGATGTTCCCCCTGGCTGCTCGGATGTGAATGTGGCGGAACGGGCGAACTGAACGCTCTTGCGTTCTCTCGGGACGTCTGAAAGCTCACCCTCGGTAGGGTGTCGGGATACGGGGGCAAAGGGTGGGTAGTAGGAGCTCGATGAGGCATTGGACATGTGCGAGGACGGCTTCGAGGCCCTCATGGGGACCTCAGAGGCTTGTTCAGTGAGATAGTTGCCTCCATTTGCATTCCCTGGCGCATGGAAGGGAAATTCACCAGGCTCTTTGGGCGACAAGGGGGAGCCTGTGGCGGCAGACCGCATGATCCTGGGCGCGTTGTCAGAAGGGGAGGGGTTGTATATATCCTGTGTCTCGTTCTTTGGCCCCAGTCGAAGCGGTAACAGCAGTCGACCCGAGTCTTCTGTGCCTACAGGCGATCTGGAGCGCGGACTGCGAGCCGCGGGCGGGCCGTCTCCGTGGGTTGAGCCGGCCATGGAGTTTTGGGTGAATTGGGCTGACGGGTAGCGATTGGATATTGACGTCTCGTATGCAGAGATGTCGTGTCCCTCTCTGCTGAGGTCGGGGTTGGGCAAGTTTAGCCAAGTTTACACAACCATGGTTGAGAGACTGTCACTAGTAAACGACACAACGTCTTCCTCTACCAGCTATCTTGATGGCTTTTTCTCTCTCCGATGTCAGTGGCTAGTCCAGAGTAGACGCGGCGCAGCTGTGATGGGTATAATGATTGTCTGGGTCCTTGCGCTGTGCGCGGTGCAGCAATCTCCCATGTGCTTTCCCCGGCGCACCGTTCACGCTAACACAACTGGCGTCAGGGGGTCCCGCCTTCTCGACGTGCCCGCATCATCGTCTGTTGTAGCTTATCCTGCATGTTGAACATGTCCTCGAGTGCACGCCATGGAATGTATTTGCACTAGAAACACATCTCCGCGGACTGAACACGTCATGTCCGTCTCGTCAAGGAGCTTGAGCCCATGGAGCTCACAGCTCCCGTCCGCCGCGTGAGCATACCTCGGTTTCAGGCACCCTAGCCCCGCCGTATTCGAAATGCGCAGACTTTGAGCAGCGACGACATTGATCTTCTCCCTCGCCATCCTGCTAATAATTAATTCGTCGTAATCTTCACTTTTCTAGGCACACGACACATTCAAAAATGGCAGCGGCGACCAACAACCCCCTCAACGGCACACTCAGCGCCACCGACCTCCCCGTATCCTCGCAAACCTTCACAATCGCCGGCATCCTCGTGGATATTCATGGCCTCGATCAGCTGCCATCGTCCGTCTCCTCGGTCGCCTGCCTATGGCTTCTCAACCCGCGTCTGCAGACCAAAGAAACCATGGCCCCCATCGCTCGCCGCGTCATCTCATCATGGAACAAGCGCATACAAGAGGGTCGCGCAGGCAAGAACCCAAAGGGTCTGATCGCCGCTGCCTTTGACCAGCGCAACCATGGGTCACGCAAAGTAGACGACATGCACAACCAAGCATGGCGGGAGGGCAACGAGCGACACGCGCAAGACATGTTCGGCTGCTATCATGGCACCGCAAACGACACCTCGCAACTCATCAACCACCTGGAATCCTACATCTTCACCACAAGAGAATCCCCGAAGATTACCCAGCACTTCGCCCTCGGCATCTCGCTCGGCGGTCACGCGACCTGGCACTGTCTACTCGGCGACGCGCGCATCACCGCCGGCGTCGTCGGCATCGGCTGCCCAGACTACACACGCCTAATGACGGACCGCGCTCGCCTCTCGAAAAGGAAAACCTACACTGAATCCACGCCGCCCGCCTGCGCCTTCCTTGGCTCCCCCGATTTCCCACTCGCCCTGCAGGACGCCATTGCACAATATGACCCCGCTGGTCTGCTCCTCCCTGGCATGTTTAACCCCGTGGGCGACGACACACCGCCAGACCAGGCTAAACTTGATAGAATGAAACAGTTGATGAGGGAACGGTTACAGGGGAAACGCATACTCAACCTCAGTGGCAAGATTGATAAATTAGTCCCGTATGCTGCTGGCAAACCCTTTTTAAACATCTTCAAGCGTGTGTTGGCTGAAGACACTAGCTTGGATATTGGCTTTGATGATGTCCTGTTTGATGGTGTTGGGCATGCGTTTCCTAAACCCATGGCTGATAAGGCTGCGGAGTGGCTTTGTGATATTCTTGCCAAAGATGGGGATGGCGGTCAGGTTTCAAGCAAGATATAGATGGGTTAGGGACACGGTTCTTTCGTTGTAGATATTAGGTAGTGTATATGGTTTACATTGATAGAGTGGAGTTAAATGAAAGCATTTGGTATATTCATTCTCACGACCAAAGTGTGAGACAAGTCAGCGAAAAGCACGGAGGATGAAGGTGGGCATATTTCTATCGAGTTTTTGTATTGTAGCATGCAGAAGATGTGTCCCCATACAGAGTAGTGCACGTAATGCTAAGCATTGCTGCCTAAATACGTACCTTTGTCTCCGATGGGGTAGCTCTCCTAAAACCATTCATCCACCGTTGTGGGAATATAATGTACATTCTTCCTGATATCTCCGGTATGACTGCTTTGCCATGTGTCAATTCTCCTTCATGTCGGAGATGCACACCCCCAAGGATTTACATCAAGTCCATCTGGGCAGCTCTTGGCTTGATCTATTATACACGTGAAATTTTAGTCGCCATCCCTATCCCATCCACTCACTCAGTCCCCAGCATGCGTTACCCTCTCTAACGCTTCCTGCCCTTGGCTTTGACCTTGGTCTTGCCCTTGTTCGCCTCAACAACCGCATCTTCCTCTGCATCAACCACCTTCTTATCCTTGACTTTGGCGTTAGACTTGCCCTTGTTCACCTCAACAGCCACTTCTTCCTCCGCTTCCTCATCCGCTTCCCCATCCACCTTCTGATCATCGAGCTTCCGAACAAGCGTTGGTGTGATTCGAGTCAAAAACCCATACTTGTTCCTTCCTGGACGTAGAACTATGGGACGACCATAAGCTTTAGTCTTCCAGATGCGGCGAGGGGGTTCTGAAGGTTTGCTCTCCGCATAAGGTTCGGGTTCGGGGGTGGCTTTGGGAGCGGCTTGCTTGTGTGACTCAGAGCTGTTGACTAGTCGTAGGCTGTGTCTCCTTGGGTTTCTCTCTGGACTTGCGCTTGGGACCGGGACTTGTAGTCGCTGTCGTGTTCGTCATCGTTGTTGACTTCATCGTAGTTGACCTCCTCGTAGTCCTCGTGGCTATTCTGGTCGAGAGAAGTCATCATAGGCAACACAAGTGTGGACGGCACAGACGAGAGACCGTTACTGGAATTCTTACCAGCCTTGGCCTTGGGGTCGGAAGCTTCGGGAACCAGCTCATCTTGCCTCTTAGCTTGCGTCTTCTGCCTAACGCTGCGTCGCACGATCGGCTGCATCTTCTGTGGGACCGCAGACTTGACCTCCTCCTCCTGTTCATCCTCCTCTTGTATGGAACTAGCCTTGCGTTTCCTCGATTTGCGGGTCGCAGGTGCTTTTTTAGGCATCTTCTGTATCTTGGGAAGGAGAACTTGAACGGGAGTTCGATCGCCGAGAGATGGGAGACTCTCGACGTCGGTGAAGTACTCGACATCGGGGTCCATCTCCGGGTGCGCCCGTCCGAATATGTAACTCATGATCGTGGGGTACTCGCCCGACTCCTGCTGTTCGAAGCCGTTCGCCATGTTGCAGGTCATCGTTTTGGAGCGTTCTCTGAGTGGGGTTGGAGTGGCTAGAAAGGGTTTAATGTATAGTCCGTATGCCAAACTTGATAGACTCAGGGCGTTTTTACCTTGCGTTAACGGTGCCTGAGATTCTGTGATCTCATGCAGCTGTAGAGATTCTTTCACCATGCTTGGCCCGTTTTCCATCATAGCTGGGAGCTCCTCTTGCTCCTTCGCTTCCTTGGAACCTTTGCCCGACTTCTTGGTGCGAGTAGAAACACCGTTTGTAGATACACACTTTCTAGCTTTCTTCTTAATCGGGGCATCATAATCGGATTCTGATACAATCTTTGCCTTTCTAGCTCTCATTGAACGTTTGCGAGGGTTGGTAGTTTTGGACAATTCGGGTTGAAAAGGCGACGGCAGTAAAACCGTGTCACTATGAATATGCTGTTCTGGTGACGTACGAGCCGGTGTAGAGCTAGCATCCATGAGCATGTCTTTCGTCTCTACAGCCCAAGCCTGGTCTGGCTCAACGCTATGCTCGCGGTGGGCTGGAGAATTTCGGATTGAAAGATCTTCGGCGGATGTGTTCCTGGCAGCATCCTGTAGCTGTGCTTGCCAAGCTTCCATATCTGCATGTGCAACGTCCTCTGACAACTGTGGACTGGTTATTTCTCTTTCTTTCATAAAGCTAGACAGCAACTCCAAATCTATAGGCATACTTACTTTCAACCTAGCCTGCAGTGTATTATCGATTAGGCTGCTTCCGGGGTGTGATTGTGCTAAGGCAGGCGATTTGTCTTCTGGGTGCGCATCACCTGTCATTGGGCTGCCTTGTCCAACCTCCTCATTCTGGACTTGGCCTTGATCTTCCTTTTGGGCGATTTTCGTCTGCGAAGGACTCGGCATAACCGAATCCTCAATTGATGATTGTGATGCTACCGCAGTGGTGTACGCATCTTCCAGTGTCTCGGCAGTAGTTGGGGTTTCGAACTCAGGAAACATCGGGATATCCTCCATGAGCACGTCATAGGAGGCATCGCGATTCCAGTCTCCACCTTCTGTCATGCTTGCTTCATCGTCCGGCTCGGCTTCCAGATGTGTGGTGGTATGAGTTGAAGAGGACCTGTGAATTGGGCTGCAGATCCAAGGTGGTGAGCGAGGTGTATACGAAGCCTCAGTAGTAGCTGTGGTCTCAAACGGTGTATCTGTGACTGCACTTGGCACCTGTGTCTGGCCATCCATCTTCTTGTCCAGAAGGGGTGAGTCCTCCTCGAGGAATAACTCAGTCCCTTCGCAATGTTTTAAGCCGACAACCGCGAATGTTCTATCTGGAAAGTCAATGAGCCTGGCGGCTGGAAATTTATCATCTTCCCCTTCACAGAAGTGCTGCTCATTGTCCTTTTCAGTATCCCATTCAAACCCTTCAATTTCTTGCAGGCCATCCAGCCAACTGTCATCGAATGGGGAGCTGTATGCGTAGTAGTCGAGTGGATATGACTGGCCATCCATTCGTTCGTTAGGGCAAACATTTTGCGCGTCGTATGCGTAATCCAGTTCCGCTAAGGTCCATGGTGCCAGCTCAGGGTGCATCATCTCAGTGTGCGCTAGCTCATTGCGCGCCATTTCGTAGCCAATGACCTCACCGACCATAGGAGGATAAACTGCAAAGGGTAAATATGGATGGTCAAAGGTCGCAGAATCACCGTCCGTATTCCAATTGAACTCCATCGCGGTGTTGGCCATTGAGTACCTAGGTGTGAGCCTGCGCTTCGGGTATGCAAACTAGAGGAGACAATACGGGTAATTGTGCAAACAATTTGGTCTCTTGTTGGCGTGTAAACAACTAGATCCTCACCTTGTGCGCGAAGGGGGAGATTGTGCAGATAGCAGGCAAACCTTGGAAGGCTTTCAACCTTGTTCTCTACAATCTTGGAACCCTATGCGCGCTCGAGTGGGCTTGGATCCATGTGTGAACAGTTGGAGAGTGAGCGATTGCACAGAGATTGTATTGAACTGTATGTATACCCAGTGGCGATTCCTGCAAGGATTAGCTCGGCTAACATATCGCGCAGTGTGAGTGTGCGTAGTAAGGGTCAAACGCGTTATCACGTGTTAGCGCAAGCGCAACATCCAGCAAACACCCAAGGACCCCCACTTTTAGCAGAACATGTACACTTCGCATCAACCAGTCCAAATGGCGGTGAAGAAAGAGGTAAGATTGAAGAAGACCAGATCCATTGGTAGTCGGGTATCGAGTACATTGTGCCAGCTCGTCCTCGAAGTCCGCCATTTCTCGCTTAGCCAAAGGTGAAATGAGAAGTATTAGAGGTTCGAGCAAGAATGTCAAGAGAGCTAAGTAAAACAAGGGGTTTGGCGCATGTTCATGTCATTCCGTTGGTGTTATATAGGTATTGCGTTGCTAATCGCGTTTCCAGTGTCGACGGGTGCAGCCAGGATGCTGTTGTAGTCAGTACCGCAATATATAATGAAGTATATGTAGAGAACCTACCTTTTTCCAGCATCAGTTGCGCAGCAACAGCACAAGAGTGACGCTGGCCAGCAGAAGATCTGGAAGGTATAAGTCGATGCTGGCGCATAGTGGAAGAGGTCCTTACCGCCATGCCAACTGTTACTACAAATCCAATTGTAGGACCAATAACTTTACAATGACACGGGTTTTGATTGCTGCATATATGTTTAGCTGGTGTTGTGGACTTTCATGTTCAGGTGGTCATACGTTCCGCACTGAAAGCACACAGGTAGAGGAATGAAGTCACACATGTTGGCTAGAAATTTGGACAAAAGAAGATAAAGAATTTATGTTGCTTGGGCCTATGGATAATGCTGAAAATGCGCAGATTGAAGATTGAAGGTTGAAGATGTCTCGGGGAAGGCTGAAATCACGATTGACGCCTGAAGTTGCGCTAACTTTGGTGCTACGTCATCTGCATTAGGCGCGATCCGCGGAGACACGCGTCCACCCTGTTGTGTTTCTTCCTGCATTTCCACGAATTACCCCATCTAATGCTAACTAACATTTTCCTTGCTTGCAAAACTGGTCATAATAAACGCGAACTCCAGCATGATGCATGTGTGGCGGGCTGTTGGCAAAGACCCTATCAAGCCTCCGCGACAGTGGGCAACTTCATCTCGATGCAGAACTTGGTTCCAAAAACACAGGCGGCCAGCAAACAAGGCACACACATGGCCCAATACCAGGGCACCCTTGTTTTCCCACACATGATGATGTTTCCAAAGCCTCACGCTTTGTCCTAAGGCTATGAGCCTATTGCATCAAGGTTCCATCTCTTCGCGTATCAATTCTACCTCCACGGTCCGCTGGCCTGCACGGATTTTCCCTTTCAGCCCATCGTCAAACTTATCATAGCAGAGTCTCCATAAGTCCGGCTCACCCTCGCTCTCGACCGCAATGAAGCCTTCCCAGTTGTTGAATAGGAATCGCTTCTCGCCATTCGGGCAAACACGAGCGCCCCAAGATCCTGCCTGTCCTTGTTCCGCATCCACGCGCAATCCATGGCTGATCTGGAAGATGTCTGAGTCGGTATCGAGATATACCCAGTTCAGCTGTGGCGGGTCATTCGATATCGTAGAAACGATTCCCTCAAAGTTCGAGTTGGGAAATGGGAGGTAGTAGCCAGAGAACGGATGATGATGCGGACCCTTGTATGTTGCGAGCTGAACGTATAACCGCCCTCCGCAAAGCACAATGCGGCTATCTTTGAACAGTTCTTGGCGATCATCTGGAGTCCTCGTAGTCGCGCGACACCGCATATGGCATTTGTCGCGTTTCCACTCCGCATCGGTGCTTGCATCTTTCGTGTTTTCGGCTTGATTTTGAATTGCTAGAACAGACGTCACTGTTAGGGGAACTGAGCCCACAAGAGAGAGAAGTCCAAACACCATCTTGTTTGTCTGCAATCAGTGTTTCGGGAGAGCCTTCAGGACCGGAATTGTAGCTGGGTGTTTGCTTTAGTTGAGGATATGGTGCTTCATGATCCAATACCGGCATTGTAAATGTACGTAAACAGATAGGTACCGATCGCAGCCTGCATCTCCCAAAGGTACTATGACGGGAATCGAGGCCGATCACGATGCGGCTGTAGGTGGACGACTGAATAGGCCAATCAAAAGCGCAGCAGACAGGTAGCTTCCGTCTCCCGCTCCGCTTGAGTCAGCATGATCGACATGATCAATACGATGCCGGCACAGTGACGAAAGAAAGCCTCATAATGCGGGTCGCCGAATAGACGTCGGCTTCTTTGGGAAATTTATATTACTGCATCGAGAAAACAAAGTCGAGGCGACTGCTTTAGCTGGCCACTTCACTGGACTGGTGCATTTGACGCAAGGATACTCGAATCGCTTGCAGTACAGAAGCCATTCCTACACCATTCCCGGCGCAGATCACCTCGCCGACTGCGTAGATCAATGATGCAGTTGCTCTAATACATGTGGCAGCTTCGGATATGTCCGTCTGGTGGCTTTTTCGGGGGCCTTTATGAGCTGAGGCACTCGCGCAAACCAGCACTTCCCTATCCCAAACCCCTCATCTCTTTACGAACACGTCTACGAAGCAGTGGCGTGGTCTTCCTATCATCCGCAGCGCAAGAACGCTAAGACACCACTTCTAATTCAGCCTCTACCTCTACCACAACATCCTCTACCATTCACACCACCACTCACGCCTGTTTCCGAACCTCGGTCTGAACCTGAATTCAGGATGGCGGACAGCGCAACAAAGGAGTACTTGATCCCATGACTTCAACATCCGATGTGCAAATACTGATATGTTAGTAGCTTGACTGGTACCGATGGAAACGCTTCTGGTGGTCGGAGCCTTCCCGATGTTGGCTCAACCATGGGTTCCGTAACAAGTCCGACAGGCCCCAAGTCGAAAAGCAAGAAGAAGAAGGGTAAGGGTAACAGCGAGGATGATGAGGAAGACGAAGAGGGATTTGGGCTCGATAACGGCAAAGACGTCAAAGGAAGTTTGAAGGTGCACATCAAGCTCGATCTGGAAGCGGACATTAGAATCATTGCGAGGATCAAAGGTGATATTGCGATTGGGATACTGTAACTGCACATGTATATAGATGGGAAGAAGAAGGGAATTGATGTGTTTTCATGAAATTGTTCGCGTAATTAGTGTTTTCCTTATGCGTGACTGGTACATCAACCACGGTACGGTATCGGCTTAGGGAGTATGTATCTCCGCGCTGCAAAGCCTCAATCCCGCATCATCTCTTATCTACCTTTCGCCTAATTACCTGAACTAGCCACAACATGAGACCTAAGACGTGAGTATATCGTGTATTTATGTGTGTCGCTTTATTGATGATTAGCAGTTCTATGAAGCACAACCGCGATAGCGCTACACCCGATGATACTTTAAAGCTAGAAGATGGAGCAAGTTTAGCTACAATTCCGGTCTCGAATAAACAAAAAGCCGAGAGCGACTCTACGCCAAAGCCTGCACAAGAAGAAAAAGCGTCTGAAGAGGACAATACGCCGTTCCGCTTTATGGATCTGTCAGGAGGTAGTGTAACACACGATAGAAGATCTACTTGGTATCCACTAACGTCTAACTAGAACTCCGAAATCTCATATACGAATTAACCACACTAGACGAACCCCACGGGCGTGTAATACGACTAAAGGAAGCCAATATCAACTTTGGTGCTCCTGATCTTCAGCGCCAGTATCTTGGACTTACCCAAGTCAGTCAAGCCGTCCGAAACGAGTTCCTCCCCTTATACACGCAAACATACAAGCATGAAATACATTTTGCCGATATTCCTGCCTACCTGGCCTTGTATCCTCTAGAGGATGCCAACATGATGCAGACCATGATCGATCTGGTCGTAGGTCTCCGCCACAACACGCTCGAGCCACCGGGCTTCGAGGTTAAGTCCCTCATCACTCTTGATTGGAGTGAGCTGCCATTTCAAGTGTTCTTTGCTCGCAGCAACCTTGCAGATGGGCTGTTACCATCCGATACCCGCTTAGTGTCTATCAGTAATTTATTCTACCAATTTTGTCATGACAGGATGGCAAAGGGACCTCTATGGATCATTAGCAATGGTCTTTACGCGTGTAATCAGGGGGTTTCCATCCTGCTACGAATGATGGAGAGCTGCAGGATAGAAAAGATGGACTCGCGACCCAATCAGTACCTCGTCACTTTTGTGCTCTCATCAACAATCCCCAACAGCCTCACTTGGTACTTCGCAATCAGAGAGTTTTTCGATCAAATTCTCTTGAATGCGCCAGCCAAAATTGAGTTTGAGCTCAGGCCTGAACAGCATTGAGTATGTATCTTATAGGGACACGCGTTGGGTGTGTGATTAAGTTAGTTGAACAGAAGCACTTAGGTAGTGATCAATCAATGTACTATAATACACCCAAGTGAAGAATCTACATCCAATGTCGTCAGAGTTCTTGAAAATGTTAACCAACACTTGATGGCATATCCCATCGCTCTGATTCATAACTATCAGCAACCGAAGACAGCCAAGTGTCTAAAAGACGTACGACAATCGCATAGAAAAAGGACGGCGCAAACCCCGACTTCAGCAATAGCCGTAGCCAATTCTCGGTTATTATCGCCGATTATGTGCCGAGGACAGGTGCTGCAGCTCGCTACAGGAAAAACACCACCGGCCTTTCAACAAAGTCCGCGGCTTCTGAGATCGGCAATTGCGCCCCCTGTTAGATCTCTAGTCGCGTCTGCCACATGTTAGATTGTCGAACCAAACGTCACGACGTCATGCAGATCGATCCACACGAGGAAACGCCAATTCCGCCAAACTACCCCGCGACAGCGGCTGCTTACCCCAGATAGCCAAGAAGGTCTGTGAACCGACTCCGCACGTCAGTGGCGATACGGTGAGGGAGGCCCATGGTGGGTTTTAAGTGGGCATACATGACTTATGACCCAGGAAGGTAAGCCGTTGGCGATGACTATCGGCCTTTGCCATTCTCCCGGACAGGTAATTTAAGGGCGTGTTGGGCCCCGTGGAGTGTCGCCCTTGGTCTACTAGCGGCCCTCCCCCATCAATTCGTCGCGACATCAGAACGTTACTGTCAAGCATCATGGCGACAGCGATGAACGAAGATAAGCTCACGGCTGAGCATCAACGCGCCGAGAATGTCGCCGAGAAGATCTCAAACTCCTCGGCATCAGACGAGATCGAGGCGCAGGACGTTGAACTTCAGGAAAGAGAGGCAGCCCGCGTTTTGAGGAAGGTTGACTGGAGATTGGTTCCTATACTTTCTCTGCTCTATCTCGTCGCATTTATTGATCGCAGTAACAGTATGTATTCATCTAGCCTCCTCAAAAAGCCCATTTCTCGAATAGTACTAACACGCTGTAGTCGGCAATGCGAAAATCGCTGGTATGACAGATGATTTGAAGATGAACGGCATACAATACAACACTGCCGTTACGTTGTTCTTTGTTCCGTACACTCTGCTCGAAGTACCAAGTAACATCATCTTGAAGATGATGCGCCCAAGTCACTGGATGGCCATCTTGATGTTTTCCTGGGGTCTTGTCATGACTCTTATGGGGCTGACATCGAGTTACGGCGGTCTTCTCGCTGGTCGATTTTTCCTGGGTGTTACAGAGGTCCGTAAAAGTGCACATGGTTCAAAATCGACAACATACTTACCCATATACACAGTCTGGTTTCTTTCCTGCCGCTACATTCTTGCTCACACTTTGGTACCGTCGCTTCGAACTCCAGCGTCGTATGGCTGTTTTCTACGTGGCTGCGTCTCTTGCTGGTGCCTTCAGTGGTCTGCTCGCCTACGGTATCGAGAAGCTTGATGGCCGCTCTGGACTGGCCGGCTGGCAATGGATTTTTCTTCTCGAGGGACTTATTCCAGTCGCATTGTCTCTATTCATCTGGAAGATTCTGCCAGATAGTCCAGAGACCGCAAAATTCCTTACCCAGCCAGAGCGTGATCTACTCGTTTCACGTTTGGCCGACGATTCCGGATCCGGACAGGGCCGAACCACCAACGCTGACAAGATCGGAAAGGCACAGATTCTGGCCGGACTTTCAGACTGGAAGATCTGGGCTGCGACGGTTGTGTTCTGGGGAAACACTGTGGGAGTATATGGGTGAGTCTTACACACGAACGCCGAATAACGCCCAGATTCTAACACTTTAATCAGATTCACAGCGACTGTGCCTTCCGTTATCAAAGGCCTAGGCTACACCAGCGCCAACGCACAACTTCTTACCATTCCAATCTACGTCTTCGCCGCCATTCTCACCATTCTCTTCGCGTGGGCCTCCGACTTGACTCGCAAGCGCTCCCCGTACATTATCGCCGGATACTCCATCGCAGTATGTGGTTTCATCGCGCAATTAGCCATCCCGAAGCCAAACTACCCTGGTATCACCTACGGCTTCCTCTTCCCTGTTGCAGGCGGTCTCTACTGCCCATTCACTTGCCTTGTCTCCTGGATCGGAAACTCCCTTGCGCCATCTTCGAAGCGCGCTGTCGGTATGGCTCTACTAATTTCCGTTGGAAACATGGGCGGTATCATGGGTAGCAACATCTACCTCGCAAGGGAAGCGCCAAAGTATCAGACTGGCTTCAGCGCCAGTCTGGCCATGTGCTGCCTGGCCATCCTCATGACGCTAGTTCTGAGGTGGGCATATGCAAAGGAGAACAGGAAGAGAGATGAGTTGATTGCCGAGCATGGCGAGGAGGCTGTTCGCGCGAGGTACAGCGAGGAGGAGCTACTGTTGTTGGGTGACAAGAGCCCTTTCTATAGATACACTTTGTAGATACCCTACAAGCATGTATAAATTGCAATGCATAAGTACGAATAGAGTTTGTCGTACCAGGATAACCGAATCTTTGAACGTGGTTCCAGCAGCTAGCAAGGAGTAGCCTTGTATTAAATCCATCCTTCTGTGAGATCGAGATGCGTATCTCGGTGAGATTACGCGCCGGAGACTAACAGCGTAAGGCTAACAGTGGGTCCTTATAAGCACGTGAACTACCTAGGTCTTAGCTGTCTTGTTTTATAACTCCAAGGTACGCGAGCACAAAAAGATTGAGCAATGCTCTAAAAAACAATATAGCAAAAACAGAGTTTCGAACCCCTCATAGGGCGAGTTGTTTCTAAAGATTAAGTAACTGCAGTGTTGTGCGGGCAGACTTGTCATTAAGCAAATCAAACAAACTTTGGACGCTGATTTGATTTGTTTGTACAAAACTTAAGATTGTATTTAAGTTGTTTAGTTTGATAGTGTTTTAGGAGGCCGTTTGTTTAAAAGTTTGATAGATTTGATACTGTTTAGGTGCTGATCTAATCGTATATCGTATATATTACTAAGCTTCGCTGTCCCACTTGCATATTTCGTATATTGCAGCTACCTTAGCGTCAGTTACATCGCCTGAGTTGTAATCAGATAGAGGCTTAAAGCCAGCGTCGCGCCAGCTTCGTATACACTGTATTGCTGCAAGCAGTTGTAACCTAATTTTGCGTCGCCTTAGCTCTAATAAATCACCGAGCTCGCTGAACAGCCGCTCGCACTCACAACTTAAGGCTAGTATTATTAATATATCGATCGCCATACGCGCTAGGTTAGGATACTTTAGGCGTAGGCTTATCAAATAGCTAACAGGATTACTACCTTGTTCGAACTGCTCTTGCGTCCAGCGGAGTTCAAACCGTCGCTAACGCTCCAGCTCATCCATCTCTGTCACCTCAACAATGCCATAAGGCTCCGCATTAACGAGCGCGTTAATGGCGTCGTTAATACCGCTTAAGAGCTACACTAGTGGGCGACTTTGGCGCTGTATTTGCGGCTTATAGAACGCCTAAAGTTGTTTTAACCCAGCGTTGTTTGCCTTAAGCTAGCTCGGTTTGTCGCGCCAGCTGTTCTCACAGTAGTTCTTGTAGTATAGGTAGAGGCAGGTAGCGGCAAAGTATGCGGGTGATTCGTTAAGCTTAGTGTAATACGCGTTAAGCTTTGCCTAAGCTGCGCGTAGGTTAATAGGAAGGTGATCTTCTGGCGCGCTATTGGCATTATAGTTAACGCTTTCGTGGTTTTTAAGTAGCTGCTCGTACACGGCAAGTACAGCTTCGAAGACAGGTATAACCTCGTATATCGCGCCGAAACGGCCAGCTTTACTGCGAGCTTCAAGCCGTTTTGTCGCCTTCTTTAGCGGCTTCAACACTAATATATACTAGGTTATTACCGCCTAATCGTTAGCCGTAAGCCTATTAGATCTCATCTAAGCTAGTACTTTAGTAAGCTTATTATTACGGCTACGCGCGTACGCGTCGGCGCCCATCGTCCTTTTAATGTGGCTTTAGGCGTACTTATCAACGGCGTTATAGAGTTGTCAGATAATAGCACTGTTGAAGATGAGAGCGTACAGACGCTGGGTTAGACTAGCGCGACCCGGCATCTGAGAGAGCCAATCGGATCACAGGAAGGCTTGGCACCCCCCAGGTGTGCCCACAACCGTAGACAGAACCAACACACAATCAATAATCAATATCATCACCATTATTACCTATTTCATCAGTATTCCAGATGAGAGTGAATATCTGACAAGAGTTTTGCGGCGCGTACAAAGGTGTCGTGAAAGCTGTTCTAGCGCGTAACGACTAGCTTTACTAGCTTAAGTATTTCCTGCTTTTAGTCAGGAGCCTTAGCGTTAACACGGCGCTAGCAATCGGCAAAAAGATCGTATTATTGCGGTGTTTAGATATAGTTAATGATATCGATTAGTACACTAAGCGGACCTTGCTGCCGCTATTCTTGTAGGTAGGCTGCCTCTGTTTTGTGCTCGTCCTGATCATTATTGTACGCGTCCTTATCAAAGCCGAAGATAATTATCTATCCAACTAAGTTAAGTGTGTGAGGGCCGCAGCGGAGGCGGTGATGGCTTGCTGTAAATTCAAAGCGTTAGACGAGTTTAGTGACGGCGGTGTTGTTAGCGTACGCGTTGTCGAGCACAAAGTACCTAAGCTAGCTACGTGTTATACTAAAGACATCGATTATATTGCTAACAACTTTAGCTATCCTCTCGCCCGTGTGGGCGCCCGTAAGCTGAGGCAGCGCGATAGGTAGGTCCTTAATAGTGCCGTCGGCGTCAGCAAAATAAGCAACAACTCTAAAGAAGCCGCGCTTGCCGCCTTTTATCGTCTAGCTATCGAAGCTTATATAGATTTTACTAATAGCCGACGAGAGCATCTAAACAACCTGCGGCTCTATATAGCGATACAGCCTTATTACGAAGCTAGCTACACTGTTATGACTTACCTACAGCGTGTTAGCTGCCTCCGGGTTAGCAAACTCTATTATCTGCCTAAACGCAGGCGTTTCGAACTCGCGGAGAGGGTAGTTATTGTCGACAAGCCACGTAACAGCGGCGTATCGAAAGCGCTGTACGTCGAAGTTTCCGAGCTCGTTAGCGACGCCTTAAGGTACATCGACACCGCCCTTAGTCATTATCTTAAGCGTCGTTTGGCCTCGCGGTAGTGTAATCGAATCTAGTTTGCCCTTGCGATCGTAGCCGTGGCCAAGTAGCTTCTACGCGAGGTAGTTAATAGCGTTACTAGTCGACTTTGTAACCTCTGGATAGGCGCAAAAGATCTTACGATAATAGCAGTATTTGCAAACAAAGAACGTACGATGAGGCTCAAGGAGAGAGGCAACGCGGTAACCGTACTGATATACCTAACTTTTGTTACGCTTCAACGTACGCAGCGGCTTCGTAAAACGCGGTAAACGCTTCTAATTAATGCCGTCAAAGTTGTCCGTAAACTCGTTATTAAAGCTAGTATTATCCCCGCCTTCGATAGCCTCACTTGTAGCCTCCGTAGCAGCCCTACTACCCTTAGCCAGCGGTTGTATAGTAGCTTCTAGTATAGCGTCGCGCAACTGCGACTCGAACGGCGCGTCTTCGGTGGCCTAGCTTGCTGCAGCAGCTAGGGCTTTACGTAGCAAGGTGCGGATAGACAGCTTAGGCTGCGAATCGTCTATTAGGATAGGCTGCGATGCACTGCCTTTAGCTGTTTTGGCGCGCTTGTGGGGGCCGTGGGGGCCAGGGGTGCCCTCGGCGGCGCGTTTTAGGTTACGAAGCGGCATTTTCGGCGTGTTAGGCAACGAGAAACACTAAAACGTGCTGTAGAGACGGTAGTGTAGCTGCAAAAGATGGCTAACAGCGATATAGAAGATAGGAGATAGGATATAAGATAGCGGTTATCGACGGCTAGCGACGCTCGTGTAGTTATATGATAACTAAGCCAGATGCAACACAAGAAAACTATCGCGAAATTGCTACCTCCGCTATCTCAAAAACATCATTAAAGTCGATCTTAAAACACCTTAGGACATCATCTATAGAACAGCTCGCTATGTAATATTAGTCAAACAGTCAAACAAACTAAACAAATTTCGATCGTACGTTTGATTTGTTTGTATATTTCTATAGGCAGCGTTTGGTTTGTTTAATTTGCTTATAGTCAAGCAAATCAAACAAACTATTCAAACGCGTTTGCTTAATGACAAGTCTGTGTGCGGGACTCGCGGTCACTTCTGGTAAAAGGCAAGAAATGATTTCGTACAAATTCTCGCACTGCACGAACTACGTAGGTATTCCGGAGTATATATGCTAGAACACAGAAGCAGAAAAGGAAAGAGACCAGGGTAAAACGGTGCGCTAATGCATGTTGAATTCAATTCACCGGGCGGTTATGATGGCGCCAGATACTTGCAGTGGGAACGTGTACAACGGTATTTGCGGCTATAAGCCCACTCACGGTTCCGGTTCAAATCTTATAGTATTCTCGTTGCAGAAGTTTTGGAAAACGAGCTATTTCGCTCAGAGCTTGGCAGATTTGCGACAAATCCTATAGGGCTTGTCTTGTATGTGAGTCGCAAGCTAGATCCTGCGCTTCCATCCTGTCACCAAGAACTCTAGATAGGGCTTTTGGCTCCGCCTAAGTTACCTCAATATCCATGGTCGCCCCGTCAACCTGATGATCATATGCCCAATCCCTCCCTAGTGAGGCATGTCCCTCTGTAGGAATACCAACTCATCGTATCCCCTCTCCTATTCTTCTGCTTCATCCCCAGCTGGTATACCCACCCATCCCCGGCGATTTCATAACGCCATCACTCCCCAAAACAGCAATGACATCCTTCATCCTCAACAGCAACTCTGCTACCCTAAAAGGTTTACCAACCACATCATCCATACCCGCCGCCATAGCCATGTCAATTTGCTGCTTTCTCACGTTGGCCGTGACACCAATGACAGGGATCCGACCTTTCAACAAGCCGGATTCTTCCAGCTTGCGAATCTCGGACACTGCAGTAAGTCCATTCATGATCGGCATCTCCCAGTCCATGAGTATGAGACTCAGTGCGATGGGCTGTTCCTCTTCTTGGTCCGTACATATGGGCTCTGCAAAAGGTGTATTCAGAGAATCGCTTCGCGCACGTTCGTCGGACATTGGGTGGTTGTGATTCCAGAATGTAGTCTTCGGTAAGAATTCGAGGGCTTCTCGGCCGTGGTTCGCTACACTGACGACGCAGCCGAAGTTGCGCAATTGCTTGCTGAGCACGCGCTGGTTGACTAGGTTGTCCTCTACGATAAGAACATGCAAAGTCTCAGGTATGCTATTTGTGCGCTGGAGTTCCTGCAGGTCGGGACCTTCGGGAAGACCAAGGGATTCGGGATTGACATGAGCGTGTTCGATCAGAGTTGGCATCGAGCTGGAGTCTGAAGACTGTCGTCGGAAAACAGAGCCTGGGGAGTTTGACCGTCGATCAAATTCGCTTGTGAAGGCGCGTTGGAGCTGTGTAGGTCGTGACCGGCCTGCCTGTGGCATCTGTGGTCTGTGCTTGACATCTTCGGGGAACACGTGCGGTAGGCTGCCTTTCCGTGACGATGTAGGGCTGGCTCGACGTGTTTTGATGTAAAACGCAAAAGTACTGCCTTTGCCTGGTGCACTGGAGACACCGATAGCACCGCCCTGAAGTTCAGTAAGACGTCTTGAGATAAACAATCCCAGACCAGAACCTCCATAGTGGATATGAGTCCGAGGTGAGGCTTGCGAAAAGCGGGTGAAGAGAGTGCTCTTCTCCTCTTCCGAGAGACCCCTGCCAGTGTCACTGACAAAGAATTGCAAGAAAATCAACTCTTGCCCGCTCTTCCAGTCCTCTTCCAGGTGATGATCGTTTCCTATCAACCTTTCGTCGTTATATTGTATTCCGTCCGGGACTGATTTGGGCTCAGTTGCACTTGCTGTGAGAGTAACCTTGACCATTCTAGTCTGTTGTTCAAGCCGTGTGAACTTGATGGCGTTCGTGAGGAGATTAATAAGGATTTGTAACACTCGTGTCGGATCCAAGGACGCCCAATCAACCTCTAAATCGCGGTAGGACTTCCCAACCACCAGCGAAAGTTCGATGCCCGCAGCTCTTGCTTCAGCATCGAACATTTTGACGGCATGTCTAGCAACGTTCTCTGGTTGCGCAATGACGGGAGTCATGTCAAGTAGACCTGAGTCGAGTTTGGAGATGGTGAGTATGTCATCCACGATATGTCTCATGTGCTGAGCACATTGGGAAATAGTCTGAGCCGCATCCAGGGTAGATGCTAGAAAGGAGGACATGGCGCCAACTGCTGGCGACAGACGACCGTCTTTCCCGTATGAGGAGGTGATGGAATCTGCACATTGCATGATTGCACTCAGCGGATTACGCATCTCATGCGAGGTGGTGTCGATAAAGTGTTCTAGATGTTGTTTGCCTTGAAGCGCGCTGTCTGTACGAAGTTTTTGAATACCCTCGGCCCACTTCTGTTTCGAGATATCAGTGACGTTGCCGACTATCTCTATCAACTCGCCATCTGGGCTTAGTTCTGGATAAGCCGAACATAGTATCCATCGAAAGTGTTGAGTGTCTTCGGGTTCCTGTTCGCAATCATTAGAAGGCGGTATGAAAGGCATCCTAGTCCGCAGCTCAAAGCATACGGATTGGTGTTCTGTGGCCAGCTTCCAGAAAAGAGATTCGCAATAGGGCAGGTCTTCCTCAAATGCGATCCTGAACCATGCTTCTGTGGCATTCGTATCGGCCGAAGCGACCTCAAATATCTCATACCAGCGCTGATTCCGATATGTATAAGCGCCAGCAGGATCGGTTATGAAGATGGCTACGTCGGAACGCTCCGCAAATCGTTGGAACCTGTTTTCTTTGAGCTGTATCTCAGCCATGAGTTGTTCCTGGATCTGGGTAGCCTGAATGATATCCTTTTCCCTTTGGCGGACTTCCTCTTCAAACAAAACGATCGATGCCAGGGACGTAGCGAGCAGTCGGACCATAACATGGAGGTATTGCTGGTAATCTTCGTCGAAAGGTCGGCGCGGATTAATTCCAATGATGAGAAAGCCTTCGACTTGATTGCCAGTTGTGGGAATGATGGGGCATACGATAAGGATACGACAAGGATCGGCATAACCTCTCCATTCGATTCCCTCCAAAACCCTGCTGGGTTCCGGAAGATCATCCAAATGTACAACTGTGGCTTTCCCAGACTGTGCGGCGCGCAGAATAGCAGGGTGCAGGACATAAGAGTCGTCATTGATATTGATGTTGGTGGGTGCGATTGGGTGGTTGGCAGCGACGCCAATGGTACCTTTCAGGATACAACCATCCAACGGGGGAATGCTGCCTGGCGATGTCATTGACGGCATTTCAGCACTCACGTGTCGTTCAGCGGCATACAAGAGAGCAAATGGGACATCTTTGTCGTTCAAGCTTAACGAGCGTAAAGTCGTGTTCCAAAAGGACGGGAAATCTCTTGCATCAGCGCTCAGTGTGCCCATAGCCACCAAGCTAGATACGCGGCGCTCGAGGAGACGGTGACTTGTGAGTTCGTAAAAGCTTTGATAATAGGCTGTAACACGGCCATGGCGATCCGAGATTGGCACAAACTGAAAGCACCAGTGCGTCTCTTCAAGGAAGCCATCTTTGTCGATGAACAAGAGCATATCGGATTCAGCCATAGGCTCACCGGTAGCTTTGATGTGGTGTACCATAGGCTCAAAAGAGATCCAATGCTCAGGAGCCTCAGTGCGAATGCTCTTGCCCATGCAAGGATGAAGATGGCCAAGTAGTCGGATATACGGTTCGTTGTACAGCATTATCAGATGTTCACCCCAGAACAAAACAGCTGGAGCGGTATTGCTTAGTACCATGTTTGCCATGCAGCGCAGATCCGAAGACCATGATTGCATTGGACCGAGCGGTGTATTTGCCCAATCCACGCTGCGAAAATAGTCGGTGTGGGGGCTGGATCTTACACCCGATGGGAGTACATGCAACATGCCGTCAAACGATGCATGTTTAGTGTGTCTCGGAGATAAGACAGCGCCATTGCTCGGCTCTTCATGTGGTGAACTTGGTGGAGGTAGTGAGTAGGGTGACTGCGCGTCTGTACAGGATTTGTTGGGTGGCGCCTGTATTTGACGGTTGCCCTTTGCGCTTAGCGACGTGTTAACCCACAGTAGAAGCGTCGGTATTCCACTGATTATCCTGTAGCGCCCTATGGTTATGGCATTCCATACATGTCCCTCATACGTGTATGCAGGTCCCCGCCATAATGGGTCGCCTTGGATAGCCCGACCGCAGACCCAGTTCCTAAAAGCCAGTTGCGTCCTTGAACCCTCAGCAAAGACACTCGTCGCGTCTTTTCCTGTTATTTTTGCCAAAAGTCCACCAACAGCGTGCAGTGCCGTATTCGAGTATACGAGGTCGAGCCATTCGTCGTGATTTGGATGCGGTGGTACGCGAACGGCGAAAGACGGGCGGTGGTCGCAGTCGAGGGCCTCGAGCAGTGTGACAGCGGCTATATCTCCGCTCGCTACCTCTGTTTTAGGCTCCGCGTCTGATCGCATCGACTGTCGCACATATTCGGCCGTCTTGTGTATGTGGTGCTGTGCGGGTAGCTGCCCGTTCGAGGCCATTGCATCCGGTGCAACGTTGGTCAGGAGAGGGTAAAAGGGCACACAACCACCACATTGGAGACGAGTGAGTTACAATGAGTTTATCGATGATAGCAACGGACCTAGCTTCCTTTCCGCATCTAAAAAGCTAATATGGCCAAGCCTAGGCGCTTCGATGTCTTCCGTCGCCATAATACTGGATGACTGAGCTGGCCCGCTAACCTAGACTCAATCGCCGCGATCTAAGAATGACGTCATTGGTTACTATGCTTCTCTTACAAGGGATTAGTAGCCATAGCAGAGAGCTATTGTTTCGATAAGAAGCTTGCCTCTGTTGGTTCATAGTGAAGCTTCCCGTCAACTT